CCACAAGAACAAGAAAGTGCAGCTCAGTCTGTTTGTCTTCTGCTCCTCTCACTTAACAAACGGGATTTTGTTTTGTTGTCGCTCCACATACAAAATGTTCTCTGTAAACTTGTCTTAGTCAGACAAAGGTTTCCTTTGGATCAATCCTGCCCATCACCTTCACCTTTCACTATTTTTCAATTCCGCTGGGAAGAGAAACAGTTTGAACGGAGGTTTGAGTCACACACATCTGATTCACTTTTGCATCTATGGAGTTCGCAAACACATTTTTCAAGCTATTTTCCGCTGTTAGGATCCAACAACCACACAATTACGATGTCCGAATCCCAAAACTCAAATATGACAATATCAGAACCAGAAACAAAAGTGATATGGTTCAAAAGACTTGAAAAGATCGACTTTGACAATAGACACATCCCACTGGGAAAACAAACATGGAGGTTTGATGCTCACTTTTTCGGAAAATCCTTCCCAGTAAGAATTGCGCGATGAAGTGATACATGTATTCACGATAATGCATCCTTGTGTGTGTTTTTTTTTAATGAAATGTACATCCACTGTTACAGTTTTGTTTATCTCCATGGAGACATAAAGGTCATATCTGCAGAGAAGGGGACCAGCACGTTTTCGTTTAGTTTTTTTTAGCTATGAAAACACCTGTAACTGATTAATGCCACACTGCGGAACTGTTAAAGCACATCTGACAGCTTAGACTAAATAAAAGACAGTTAACGTCTTTAACGTTTTTAGTCAAATCTTAAATCTAATACTTAGTCTTTTCTGTTTTTATCATTTTACTTCCCGTTTTTCATGTTCTCTTGCGTAAAAACCGACCTCCAACTCGAGAAAGTGCGACGGAACGGCCAATCAAATCAAAATTCCGAAACACAAAATCGGGCTGGTTTGGCACAGACGAGTCAGACGGATCTTTCATTTAGATAGATTTTGAGATTTTAAAGTAATCTAAAACATCTCGGCAGAAAATGATTCTTTTTTTTTGTCCTATTTTCCAAAATTTATGTCAGTGGAGTACGAAAAGTTTAGATCATTTAAAAAAAATTGTACTCAGTTTTGGTCGATCTTGAAACTATTTTTACATGGAAGTGTTTTGTGATGATGCATTCGGGTGCCTGATATTTCGGTGGTAAATCCCATCACTGCTGCGCTGGAGAAAATACTTAAGAGTCTGAGCTGAATGGAAGACACCGGGACATTTTCAAAACCACAAAACAAAGAAAAACAATGTAAGAAAACCTTTCCATTTCAGATCCTGGTGGAAAAACAAATACATAATTTTACTTTTCGTGAAATCCTGCATTTTAAAGAGGGGGTAGAATGCAAAACTGGCTCAAAATGGGGGGCGTTCTGTGACGTTCTAACACCGTTTCCTCGTTGTGTGCTCTGAAGGGGGGGGTGACTTAGCGCGGAGAGAAAATGGAGGGGCGACTCAGAGCATCGAAAACGAAAGGTGAAACTCATAAAACGTGCTTGTAAATCCATAATTTTCGGAGAGTATAGCATTTCCGAAACAATAAATGAGTAACACGGTGATCTAAATGTGTTTTGCGTTCGCAGTTAATTCCCCGTAAACGAAAAAAATACCTCCTCTTTAAAATGATAAAGCAACATGTGGTTTTGAAAAGGACCTTTGTGAATAGTTTGATCCAGTTTGACAAAGATTAAATTTTAAAAAACGTCTAGAAAGCAGAAGTAGTTGATCTCCATTCCATTTCCCATTGGACAATTCCTCAAATTCCTGGTAGATTTTTCTTTCAAGTTTAATTTTTTTCATCCTTTAAAAGGTCCTATATTACGCAAAACTGACTCTTGTAAGCTTTAAAACATCTTAACTTCTTGTTACCTCCTCAAAAACAGACCTGGAGTTGTGTTTTGTTTCATTCAAATGTTTGAGTAAGAGATATTTGAGAGAAGAACATGGAAAAAACTAATATTTTACTGTGTACAAATGTGAGTAAAGCGCGTCACAAAGTTTTTTTTAAACCTGGATTGAAGTGTTGGGTTTTTCGTTTTTCTTCAGACAAATTCGCTAAAATCAAGGCGATATCAGCAGCGGTGAAATGCCATCGTTACGGTTCTCAGTGTCGGGACGGACCGGAGGATGTGCCCGTGTAGACCGTGACCGCGAGTGAAAGTACCGACGCAGAACTCCACGATCCACAAGACGAAGAGCAGCCGACGCCCGATCGAGGATTTGAGGAAACACTGATCCACGAGCTCAGGGTTCAACTCAGGGACGGAACGAATTAGTCCTGGTTCAGTCCTGGTTTCGACTTAGTTTAAACCTAGTTTAAGACTGAAGCAGGACTGAAGCAGGACTGAAGCAGTCCTGCTTCAGTCCTAGTTTAGTCCCGGTTCAGTCCTAGTTTAGTCCCGGTTCAGTCCTAGTTTAGTCCCGGTTCAGTCCGGTTAGTCCCGGTCAGTCCTAGTCCCGTTTAGTCCGGTTAGTCCCGGTTCAGTCCGGGTGTAGTCCCGGTTCAGTCCGGGTGTAGTCCCGGTTCCAGTCCCGTTCAGTCCGGGTGTAGTCCCGGTTCAGACCGGGTGTAGTCCCGGTTCAGACCGGGTGTAGTCCCGGTTCAGACCGGGTGTAGTCCCGGTTCAGACCGGGTGTAGTCCCAGTTTAGACCGGGTGTAGTCCCAGTTTAGACCGGGTGTAGTCCCGGTTCAGCTCTGGTTTAGTCCCGGTTCAGCTCTGGTTTAGTCCCGGTTCAGCTCTGGTTTAGTCCCGGTTCAGCTCTGGTTTAGTCCTCTGGTTTAGTCCCGGTTCAGCTCTGGTTTAGTCCCGGTTCAGCTCTGGTTTAGTCCCGGTTCAGCTCTGGTTTAGTCCCGGTTCAGCTCTGGTTTAGTCCCGGTTCAGCTCTGGTTTAGTCCCGGTTCAGTCCTGGTTTAGACCTTGTGTAGTCCAGGTTCAATCCTGGTTCCGTCCTGGATTAGACCTGGTTTAGATCTAGTTTAGACCTGGTTCAGTTCTGGTTCCGTCCAAGACTAGTCCTGGTTCCGTCCTGGTTCCGTCCTGGTTCCGTCCTGGTTCCGTCCTGGTTCCGTCCTGGTTCCGTCCTGGTTTAGACCTGGTTTAGACCTGGTTTAGACCTGGTTTAGACCTGGTTTAGACCTGGTTTAGACCTGGTTCATATGCGGCATCCTCTGTTATTTTTTAGTCAGTTTTGAAGTAACTTGCCCAACATTGGTGTTAAACGTATAAGAATGAAACAAAACAAAACTCCAGGTCTGTTTTTTGGATGAAGAAACATTAGAACATAAATCAGAAAAATAATATTGGACCTTTAAATTGGAAAAAAGTTTAAGTTTAAGAAATGCCCCCCAAAAAACGATATACAACTAAAATCTTTGTCAAACCGTCTCGAATAAATTTGAGTTGTTGACATTATTTTGGGGAGTGGTTGCCGTGGCAGCTGCGTCATAGCCGACCGTCTTTCTCTTCTTTAACAAAACCAAAACCTCGTCCCACAATGCCGCACGTTCGGAAGAGAAGAGGGTTCCTGAGAGCTGTGCTGATTGGTTCGTTTCCGGGAAGTAAATAAAAATGTGTAGAAAAAGAGGGGGGAGGGGGCGGGGTTTAGAGAAGAATACGTCGTTTCGTGAGTTTCAGACAAGGGCAAGAAATGTTCAGCTGTTTGTCGGCGTCGGGTTCGGAGGTGGTAGGTTTCGGTGTAGTCGATCGTCGTGATTTGGCGGTCGATTTCAGGAGAGAAACTGCTCGTCACAAAGTTTGGTGGTGAATCGTCTGCGCCGGGGGGGGGGCGGTCCCAAGTGATGTCCCGATAATGTGGCCAAATTTTTATAGTTTTAATACTTTTTTTTCTTATAGTGCGGCAGAGAGAAAGCACGTAGTTTAAATTTGGTTTGGTTTAAAATTTCTGCATCCAAAAGGTTTTCTCAACCTTAAAAGTATGATTTTGATTTTAATTTAAACTCAAGCCCAACTGTGTCCAAGTATGAGATAAATATGTTTAAAATAAAGCTTTTCCTAATAACAGTCGTTGGCAATAAAAGGTCAAATTGTGTGTTTTTATTAAATTTTGGTTCCAGTTTGAAAGCAGAATGAGACGTACACTCGTCGCTCTCGATTTGGGTTGCCAGTTTCAGTGTTGAAATTCAGCTAGTTTAAACCTAAAATGACTCTGATCTGTGCTAGTGCAGCCTCCGCAGCTCAGGCCCCGTTTACATGTACTCGGGTGTTTTATAAAAACATTTCCGACAGACATTTCCCTTTGTTTAATCCGTGTCGTTCGTTCATTCATTTTTCAAAATAAAACCAAAAATAAGAAAACTGAAAAAACAACTATGCATTCTTCATTATTTGTCTCCAAAACCAAAAATGAAAAAACAGATAATGATTAATGTTTTAAGTTTTTGATTTTGTGTTAAATGAATAATGGAAAAAACAGATAATGATCGTTTCCTGTTTACGTGACGTAAACTATGATGTCGGACTGAACCAGGTCTAAACCAGGTCTAAACCAGGTCTAAACCAGGTCTAAACCAGGACTGAACCAGGACTGAACCAGGACTGAGTGTCGTAACGGGCCCAGAAGTGTACCCACGTAGACTGTTGGGTGATCAGGACTGAGACCGGGACCAGACCGGGACCAGACCGGGACCAGACCGGGACCAGACCGGGACCAGACCGGGACCAGACCGAGACCAGACCGAGACTGAGACCAGAACTGAGACCAGAACTGAGACTGGTTTAGTCCTGGTGTAGTCCTGGTGTAGTTCTGGTTCAGTCCTGGTTCAGTCCTGGTTCAGTCCTGGTTCAGTCCTGGTTCAGTTCTGGTTCAGTTCTGGTTCAGTTCTGGTTCAGTCCTGGTTTAAGTCCTGGTTCAGTCCTGGTTTAAGTCCTGGTTCAGTCCTGGTTTAAGTCCTGGTTCAGTCCTGGTTCAGTCCTGGTTCAGTCCTGGTTCAGTCCTGGTTCAGTCCTGGTTCAGTCCGGCATCACAGTTTAAGTCACGTAAACGGGAAACGGCTCTTATCCGTTTTTTCCATTATTAATTTAAACACAAAATCGAAAATTGAAAAAAAAAAAAAATAGTTACGAATCATCTGTTTTTCCATTTTGGTTTTGGAGACGAATAATAAAGAAAACAGTTGTTTTTTTTCGTTTTCTTATTTTTGGTTTTACTTTGAAAAACAAATGATACATGGATTTCATTTGTTTCCATCTTTTACACGCAAACGGTGAATTCCCTCTAAAAATTAATCTTTCTAAAAACTCTAACTCTAAAGTCTAGATTGTGGAAAACTACGGTTTGTGTGTAAAGTGAGATAAACTAACAGAGTTTTAGGAGCTGATGGACCAAAAGTGTGACCAGTGTTTCCCTTTTACTCTGATGATGATGAAACGTCGCCCAGAGGCTCGGTGTAGTTATGATGGCTCTCGATGGTGCGTTTATGTGGGTCGATGTAAACGAAAACTTTTCTGAAAACGATGCTCTGTGCACGTTATTTTGGAAAACTGAGGGAGGGAAATGTTCGCTTCTCAGCATACCCGGCTCCTGTGTAAACGCAGCCTCAGGGAGTGAATCCTGGAGGTTCTGAGCTTTCAAACGAGGCCTGTCCGTGTCTCTATCTGCAGATTAAGGCACTGGCAACCCGGCTTCAGTTGTGATTGTGGAACCTCTTTTGAAATTAAGCGCACGGGCTACATGCAGGTCCTTCCCTGATCCTAACCCAAATCATAACTTATAGGCGAGTTTCATTGTTGACAAAAGTTCGTGCTGCATGCTGGGAATTATTTTGGTCGGCGGCAAAAAACACTAATTCAACATGACGGACGGAGCGAGAAAGCACGTAAAGGGTATTGATCCCGGTTATTTATCCACTCTAACAGCAGAGGACCCAAGACCATTTGACCAGAAATTGGTCAAAAGCATCGATGGAGCCAAATCACCCTTTTCAACCCCGACAAAAGGTGGACCAAACCAAATTTCTGGTCTGAATCACCAACTACCTGGACAAATATTCACTTGGGCGATATCCACAATGACTTGGTGGAAACTCCTGGGCCATTCACAGCAGAAAAGATGAAAACCTCCAAGAGTCTCGATGTGTTGTTGAACTTGTTGGAGTCCACGGTTTGTTAGGATCTTCTACGTTTGCTCTGCAAATGTTTGAAAGCCATTTAATTCACCGTTAGTGGTTCTTTTCACTCAGAATACGAAAAAGACATTTTCCTTCTTCCGTGCTTCTATTTGTGCATCCGATAATGCAGCAGGAATTTACCATTACCGGGGATAAATACGTGAGGTTACGCACTGTGTTTGACCACTACCGTGTTTCTTGCCTCAGACCAAAATATTTCCCAGCATGCAACGCGCGCTTTTAATAACAATGACGTCAGCTGAAACTCGCCTGTATAAATCAGGATTAGTTTAAAAACATCACGTGATCCGTTCCCTCCAGCGCAGACTCGCACCAACCCCAAAGCCTGCCGTTCTTCAGCTCATCGACTGTCCTCCTCCGCAGAGTACGAGACGTCCCCGTGTCTCCAGAGGGTCTCAACATGCAGACGTCTAAGCTACAAGGTTTTACGCAGAATAAAACCCAGCGGAGACACGGGGTTGCACAATATCCACAGGGACCGGGGACTTCTCCTAAAATGTTTAAGGTTGCTACTACATAGAAATAGGCGAGAAATATTATTATAGGCCCATTACAGTAACTCCAGCCGAACATGAAGCTTTCCATGCACTTTTGCCAAATCAAAATTCAGCCCTAAACTTTTTTTTGTACAATTTAACCCAAGAATTTTGACCATTTCTGTCACCAAACGAAAGATAAAAAACAAGGAGCGGAGACACAGGGACGTCTCCTTTCTCTGCAGAGGACGGCGGATTATCTAAACAACTGCGGCTTTGTGACTCGTGATTGTGAACGGAGCGGTTTCCCCGTTCACTTTCCCCGTAGACTTTCCAAAATATTTAAAAGGGATGAGGGAGGCTGACCAGTTTTGCGAGGCCATTAAAGAAATTCTCAGCGGACTAAAGACATGTTTATCCTTATCAGTGAAATTATTCGTCACATTTGTTTGTTTTGAGTGTAAAAACAGATTTAAAACTCTGTGAAATAGCGCTTTATGCAGTTTTTGAAGCTGATTGTGATTTGTGGTCATTAGTTGCGACATATCTTTTTCTTTTTTTCAGAAAGTCTATGGGAAAAATGAATGGTAAATGTAAAATTTATTAATCTGAGCCATGTTATCGTGTTGTTACTTCATCAAAAACAGACCGGGAGTTGCGTTTTGTTTCATTCGCGCTTGATTTGTTTGAGTAACCTTTTATTATTAGTCGTTCTACATCTCCAAAGCTCTAATCTGTCTTGTGATCTCATGAAGTTGGCGTTAGTTTTCAAGTTAACAGCTCAGTTTTCCTTCTGAGATTGGACATTTCCGAGCTGAAATCGTTCAAATGGCGTATGGAGTTTTTTTTTCTGTTTGAGAAAACAGCTCGGTGTAAATCTGCAGGGTTTGTGTGAATGAAACGAAACAACTCCGGGTCCGTTTACGATAAGGAAACAACATTATAACATAGATCAGAAAATAGTGTGATATGTGCCCTTTAACGGTGGCAGTTTTGTGTAGAGCTTTTCCGATGTTAAACCAGCGCAGGGCCTTGGACGGGGTCGTGTTTGACTTTGTGATTTCTGAACAGAAGACATTGCTTGCCCCCTGCACCTCTCAAACCGCTGTAGAAATGTATAAATAAAGTTCGGGTCAGTTTTCCTCGATAAGGTTTAGGTCCAGTTCTGTACAGTCGCGTTCAAACACTGGCGGAGCGTTCGTCTCTCGCTCCTCTCCCTCCTCCTCCTCTTCCTCCTCCTCCTCGTCGGGGTTTTCGGGGCACTCTTCATCGCTCTCGCTCAAAGGACCGATGCTGCTGCGCCCCAAAAGTTCAGCCGGAGAACAGGAACCGCGGAAGTCCCCCAGGAAATGGCTCCATGGAGATGCACACATCTCCGCCGGAGAAGGAGCCAAGCCGGCCGCGCTCCAGGCAGAAGCCGGGGTCCATGCTCCGGGTCTGCAGCACAGACAGAGGGTCAGAGGGACTCAAAACGACAACTATGGAGGTCAAAGAGGGACTAAACTGCAACTACGAAGGCCAAGTGTGGACAAAACTACAACTACAGAGGTCAAGGCAGGACAAAACTACAATTACAGAGGCCAAAGAGGGATAAAACTGCAACTACGAAGGCCAAGTGTGGACAAAACTACAACTATGGAGGCCAAATAGGGACAAAAGTTATAGTAGAACTATAGTTTCCTGGTAACGTCCAAACCCTGTTGTAGTAGTAGCCATTGTTGTAAAAGTAGTACATGCAGTAGTGTTGTATTTAGCAGCAGCAGTAGTAGTAGTAGTAGTAGTAGTAGTAGTAGTAGTAGTAGTAGTAGTAGTAGTAGTAGTAGTAGTAGAAGTTGTAGTAGTACCTGGGTCATCTTGGTAAAGTCCAGCCCTGGTCTCCCGGGGGGTCGGTCGGGATCTCGTCTCCTCTTTAGCCCAGGCTTGAGCAGCAGGAGGTCGCAGGGCTGGGAGTGGCAGCGGGGGGCGGGGGGCAGACTGCGGCGCAGAGAGGACGGCGTGCTGCAGGCTGAGGCGGGGGGCGGAGCCTGAGGTGCGGGGGGCGGGACTGGGGGAGGAAGGAACAGGCCGGAGTCTCTGATGAGCACAGGAGAAAGAGAGAAGCGACGCTGCGGAGGGGGCGGGTGCAGCGGTGAAGGAGACGACGAGCACGACGAGGGCGACGGGAAGAAGCAGCAGCAAGCCCCACCCCCCGCCTCCTCCCACGGGAAGCTCCATGGCAACGGAGAGTCCGGCGACAGCGCCAGGCTGAAGAAGGTGGGGCTGGAGGAGGAGTGCAGCGACGAGTTCAGAGAAGAGCAGGCCCCGCCCACTGCGCCCGCCACAGCTCCGCCCACCGCCGCGGCCCCGCCCACCGCCGCCCCGGGGCAGTGCCGCGCCACCGGAGTCCACACCCTGGACGCGCTCGGACGCCAGGTGTAGCGGCAGCGCGACAGGTCCTCGGGCACAGACAGCGAGCGGCAGTGCCGTTTGGGCGGGGGCGGAGGAGGCGGGGCCAAGGGCCCGGCAGGGGGTGGGGCCGCCGTGGGGGGAGGGGCCAGAGGGTCCTCCACCGACGGCCCATCGGCCGCCAGGGGCAGCGGGCCAGGAGGGAAACTGGAGCTCAACAGCCCCCCCTGGAGGGGCTTTGTGGGGCAGAGCTGCCAGTACCCGCTCTCTACAGACACAAGAACAATTATACTCATTATACTTTTACTGATATTATCATCCTAACACAAATACTGTATACAAATACTATTACAAACACTACAGAGATAAACCAGACTCACCCGGCATCAACCCATCTGGGGCACAGGCTTCGGACAGGGCTTTGGGGTCCAGCAGGGACTGAGGACAAACACAGTTGAGTCAGAAACATCTCATTGAGGAGGTCAGGAGCTCTGTGTTGGTCAGTGGAACCATCACCATCCTGAGGAAACCCTCTGCACATCACCAGCTCAAGGCTTGCCTCCAGTCAGAGTCATCTTCTGATCTTATTTAGGAACTTAACCTGGTCCAGAGCAGGTTAGAGATCATTTGCCCCCAAAGTCTTCCAGCTTCATAGAGCCACTAAACCAGAGTTACCTCAAAGTAACGTGTAACTCATAATCCACCTCAGAGAACGAGGCCGGGGTTTACACCAGGTCAGAACTGATAGACTTGTTTAATTTGCTCCTGGTCATAGTTTGGACTAAACCTGGACAAAAACTAGGCCTGTCAGGATAATTACTAACTCGACTTCTCGTTCAATATGTTAGATGGTCTGGTCTTTATCTTTATCAGAACAAGTATAAGGCTACATACTGTGGACCACTGTGGACCACTGTGGACCACTGTGGACCACTGTGGACCACTGTGACCGGGTAGACTGAGGGTAGACTGAGGGTAGACTGAGGGTAGACTGAGGGTAGACTGAGGGTAGATTGACGGTAGATTGACGGTAGACTGACTGAGGGTAGACTGACGGTAGACTGACGGTAGACTGACGGTAGACTGACGGTAGACTGACGGTAGACTGACACAGATATAAGGCCACATGGGAATATGAAAGAAAGTACTGCATTTTAATGTTGAAAATCACATTTTATTGTATAAATCATTGTTGTATCGGAATCTGAGTTGAGTATCAAATACTTAGTCATTAGTATCAAAATCGAATTTGACATGAATTATTATTGTGACAGGTCTATGAACTGGGCCTGAACTGGGACTACAGAGGGACTCACCGGGTAGCAGTCCCGCGGCGGGGGTGGGTCGCCTTCCAGAGTCTTGGCTCAGGATTTCCAGGCGGAGCAGCAGGACCACAGCATCGTGGCTGTGAGCAGGAACCAGGAGAAGGGGAAACGAAGCGGGGACAGTTTAGGCTGCGACACCTCTGTCCGACGATCAGTGGAAACGCGTGGTGACGTGCGGCCTCGTCACATCAGCCTCCCCGACTGCCACGTCATCACAGGAGCACTATCCCAAACACGACCAGGAGGGGGCAACGTTTGCTCCTTTAGCATGTCTCTTTGAAACGGGCACAGAACGCTCCTTTCATTTGTCATTAAACTTCAACTACACACCTGCCCAGCTGTGATCCCCTGTCACCTGTCACCTGTCCTCTAACAGGCCACAAATAAACAGCAGCCCTAAAACATGGTGGGAAGGACGGCTCCGCCCACAAAGGCTCCGCCCACGGACCTGAAAAACAAATAAAAAAGTCTTAAAGAGGTGTATTTTACTTCTATGGGCTATAACTACTGTAACATAACACATTTAGATCACCATGTTACCTTTTGTTGTTCTGAAAATGCTACTCACACTAAGTCACTCACCCTTCAGACACGTCAAACTCAGGCCTGGGGACCAAATTTGGCCCACGAAACCATATCAAATGTGTTAGAGCTGCCCGTCGGCTACAGATAAACTATAGAGACATTATTTACCGTATTTTCTGGACTATTAGGCGCTCTGGATTATAGAGCACACTGTCAAACTTTTTTCACAAATAAACCGCGTGGGACTTTAAAGGAAACCCAACAGTGTGATGGGTGAGTGGTTTTGTTTGTTTGTGGCGTTCACGGTGACTCTGGGCTTTGTTCAGTTGTGGCGTGTAGGGAGGGTGCTGCCTGGGACCACTGGATTGTCGGCGTGTTCGCAGTGACTCAGTTGTTCAGTTGTGTCTAGAAGTGGCACATTGCACTCGCTTTTTCGGTTCGTTCCTCCGTTCCGTTCCTCGCCGGCGTGGAGTGATGAGTGTGTCTGTGGGTGTGTTTCGCTGTGCGGTTGCTGTCTGCTCCATGTGTGTTTGCATGCGCTGCGGGTGGTGCGGCTTTGTAGTTTACTGAAGTCGTGCTGGGACACCCAAGTGGATTCGTGTATGGGGCGCTCTGGATTGTGGGGCGCAGTCGCGCAGTCGTTGCATTCGGGACAAGTGTGAGTCCATGTGCACAGTGTATAAAGCAGCACATATGTTTCGGTGTCCAGTAGGAAAAAGTTTTGTCAGGTGAGAGTCGTGCAATGTGGATGACGAGTCCCCACCTCCCTCCCCCCGTACGGTGTCCTGGTTTTGACAAACTCAAATCTGGTCACACTAACCTGTATTCCACTGAGTCGTGTCTTTTAATCCGACAGAAATTGACCGCATCAGCGACACAAGAGCTGTAGTTTTATCTTCGCTTAGTTTATGTAAATTAGCGATGCGGTTTTAAGTTTTGTTTCTGTGAGAGTTGCACAAAACTGAATTAAACACATTATAATGCCAAACGGGCTGATGTGGCTCTAGAGTGGTTACGGTTTATATGTCGTAAAGTTTAATTTATTTATGCAGATTAGTAGTGCAGATAGAAATAATAATGATAATTTTAATATAAAAATGTTAATGATTAATCGATGATCGTTAATTCTTCCGACGTTCGATTAAGAAAATTTCATCGAATGCCCATCCCTACTTAAGAGCGCGTCTAATAGCCCGGAAAATATGGTATTTAAAATGTTGTTGTTATTATTTTATATTATGCTTCTTCTGGATTCAGTGTTTAAGCAAAACTATTACTAAACATTTATTTTAAAAAGAAAACGTTTAACATTGCATATCTCGAAAGAAGAGAAAATATGCAGAATTTTTCAATAAATATTTATTTTGGCCCACAACTTAGTCCCAGTGTTTTTATGTCACTCTAAAGCAGAGGAGTCAAACTCAAATTCACAATCAGTGTGCATCATACTAATGAAACACATCATATCAGCTGTGTGAAGTTGTAGTGTATGGCTTTGTATCACACTTTTATGGAGAATTATCATGTGGGTGATTGTCATTATGGGTGATGAAGCTTGTGGGCGGAGCCTTGTACAGGCTCATACACAGAGAAAAGGAGTGTTAAAATGGACTCTCACAGAATCAATTTTAACATTTTCTCAGAGTTTAGTTTTAGCTGTCTCAGACAGCTTATATATCCAATCTGTTCTAGAGTTAATTTAACATTTTTGGAAATGTTCATTAAGTACACCATTGGACCAAAGTTCCTGTTTAACCCGAAATCCAGAGTTATATTTCACGTTTTGAGAGTAAACGGATAACACTTTGTAGAGTTATTCTGATTTAGCTAAACAACACACAGAGGCATTTTAGTTTGTTTTTACTTTATTTTAGTTAATTTAAGATGAAATTATGTACAAAATTGGTTCAAACTGGTGTTCTTTCACAAGAGTTTGAAGTGGTGAAAGGGAGGAGCCAAATTAACACTAAGGGAAGTTGAATTAACACTAAGGGAAGTTGAATTGACACTAAGGGAAGTTGAATTGACACTAAGGGAAGTTGAATTGACACTAAGGGAAGTTGAATTGACACTAAGGGAAGTTGAATTGACACTAAGGGAAGTTGAATTGACACTAAGGGACGGACATTGAATTGACACTAGAGGAAGTTGAATTAACCTCAACCACATCAAATCCGGCAAATAACCCCAACTCGAACCTCCATTTAACTTTCAAATAGTTAAAATAACACTTTTGGTGTTAAAAACAACTCTGAAATGTTTTAACCCTCCAGTTTTTGCGGTGTACTGTGAAACATAAGGAAAGTTTGAATAGGGCCCGAGAGAGATGGTTAAACTACTCAAACATGCATGTATCTGTATCTAAAGTCTCGTCACGCATGTTTTTGATGAGGAAATGTTATATTTAGTTCAATCTTTATTTAACTTTTTTATTCTTACTATTTTTACGTTTTTAATACTATGAACCAGATATTACGTGTTCTTAATACAGTGCATGTTATAATGTATATAGAAAAGAGCGCCAGTGCCTCCACAGCTCAGAGGTGAATCTGACAGAGCTCCTCACAGGACACACTAGAGCACAGGTGTCAAACATACGGCCCAGGGGCCAGATCCGGCCCTCCAAGACCTTTAATCTGGCCCTCGGCTGGTTTTCTACTAAAATATTTTAATTATATTTTCTATTAAAATATTGGTAATTTTCTGTGCCGCTTATCATAGCAGCATCTCCTGTGCCTCTGTGCGTGGCCCCTCCCACCAGAGCAGCACAAATAAAGATTTGCCTCTTTCCAAACGCTCTTAAAGGATGATCGTTTTGACTGTTGACCGTGACACCCTCATCAGAAAAATTTTAAAAATGAGAAAAGTGGACACTGAGTGCAGGATTTTCCAAGAAAAATTTACTTATTCCTATTTGCATAGAAGTTCATGTTAAAACATTGTGTTGAAATTGCATTTTTCTTAAAGTTTCAGGTTGTTCATAATATTATAATATTTTGTAAAAGAAAGAGTTCATCAATTAAAAAAAGATTTCTGTAATAAATTTGCATTTCTCTGCACAAATATTTGAACTTATTACTGTTTTTGGAGTATATATGCCATGAGTTTTCTGATCTGGCCCTTTGGGATGAAAGTAGGTTGAATACGGCCCCCGGACCAAAATAAGTTTGACACCCCTGCACTAGAGCTTCAGTGATTTGATTGCTCAGATTCACGGCTCTACACATAAATAAATAAATACAACATGTGATTGTGACAGCACCGGGTCTCACATCACAATTTACAAACATTTCACTGGCGCTACAGAACCTCTGCACTTTCAATAATATAGTAAAAGTTCAGTTATAGTAAAACGCGTCAAAAAATATTTATTGCAGATAGAGGATACATCATTTCTTTTCTCATTCTTAGTATATGGACTGGTCAGAGCTCATGTGAAAGCTCAGAACCTCCAGAAGTCCCTCACAGAGCTGCAATAGCACTGATTAATAACTGTTTGAAGGTGCTGGAGTTTAGGTAGGGACCATTCAGATCAAAAAGAGCCTTTTAAGATTTAAACCAACTGGATTTCAGAGGCTCAGAGGCTCATTTTGCTTTCTGACTGGATAATCGTTTTCAGAACCAAAACACCAAATTAAATAATCAACAACTTGGCCATCGTGTCAATTGTTTTAGTAACATGCCCCCCTTGTGTCTGTAGACTCAGATATAACCACTGTTGGGCAGTAACAGATTACATGTACCAGGATTACGTAATCAGAGTACAAATTATGAGTAACTGTATTCAGTTACAGTTATTGTTTCAGTGAGTGGTAATTAGATTACAGTTACTTTGTTGAAATAAATGGATTACAGGGCGGTATTTTCCTGTTTTCACATTTTGGGCTAAACCAGGACTAAAACCAGGACTAAAACCAGGACTAAAACCAGGACTAAAAGCAGGACTAAAAGCAGGACTAAAAGCAGGACTAAAACTAGGACTAAACAATATGACACCTAACAGCAGAGTGGACATAATTTAAGGCAGCAGTGATCTCATATAGAAATAATTTCTCTATCAATAATACAGTAAGTAAGTAAAGACTGGGCTTTTTATTTTCTTTTAGCAGACAAAACAAAACATTTTATGTTAAGATTTCCTGGTTTTTGCTTCTCTACAACAGTCATCTGTTCATGGAGATTTGGGCCCAACAGATAATTTGAAGAGAACAAACAAGAATTTTCAGGATATGGTTGGTACATTCATGTCGTTTTAAAAAACATGACAATATCAAGTAATCCAAAGTATTCAGATTCATGTTACTCACTTTAAGTAACTTTATGGATTACGTTACAAACTACATTTTGGGGTATGTGGTATGTAATCTGTAATCTGTAGGGGAATACATTTTAAAAGTAACCTTCCCAACACTGGATATAACATACACACATTTATAAAATCTGAAATTAGAATTACACATAACGTCCCTTTAAATATATATATATATATTTTTTTTAAAAACATTACTCCAGGTTGTGGATTCAATCACTGCATGTCTGAGTGGCAATGCCCACGTCTTCAAAACTCTTCTCGCAATTCTCAATAATTTTTTTGATACACTGAGCTCAATTTAAGATGTAATTTACAGAACTTAAAAGCTTGTGAATGCCCCTGGTGCATGAAAAACCCTCACTTCTCTGTCAATCCAAGGATGCAAAATTATAATTTAAATTAAACTATTCATTATTTCATTTATCTGCCTATTTTATTTAGATGGGATTTTTTTTCATGTTTATTGTAGTGTAATTATTATTTATTAGTCATCAGTGGGGTAAAGGTGACCAGAGGAGCCTTATATTGGGGTAAAGTGCCCTGTGTCATGAAGAAGCAGAGGTTGAATCCCGGTGTTAAATAAGGTCACTGCCCCAGACCTCCCACTTATGGATCCGAACGAGTTTAGGATTTGGTATTTAAAGCGAACAGGTGCTGGTGGTGAAACGTGCGGAGATGTGGAGGATGTAGGCGGTGTTCGGGAGCTGGGAGCGGGCTGTCTGCAGCTCGGAGTCCGGCAGCAGAAGCCTCTCCTCCGGATCAGGCCCCGAGCATCTCCGCCGCTCCTCCGGCCGGGCGTTAGCATGCGGCGAACAGCCTCAGAGTCCGAAACGCGACAATAAAATCACGGCTAAATGTGTGAATGACTCAGCCTGACAAACGCCGGCCGCGGTCGGTAGCCTTGGTCAGGGAGCGCTGTGGTCGGCTCCGGGTCCGTGTGAGGCCGCGGCTCAGGCGGACACAGGCTCCGGCTAAAGCTAACGCAGCTAACGGAGCTAATATTATGAAGCTAATGGAGCTAACGGACCAGCCCAGGCTCCGCGCGTCTGTTAGCCGCGGCAGCTAGCGGCGGCAGCTAGCGGCGGTGATTTAACAAACACACCGCTCAAATTCACTGAAATATAAATGGCCTGGTGTGGTACTGTCACACATGTGCTCACCGTATTTTCATTGACTGGTAAAACAAGTACGGTAAAAAATAATCGTGCACAACACGGGCCGGTAATAAAAATAACAGGGCGGTGCGTGCGGACGCGAGCCCGGCCTGAGCGCGCGGTGAGCGGCGTGCAGCGGGGAGAAGACACGGCTGGATGCAGGGGCTGGTTTAAACACAGACACAAGCCTGAGCTGTTCAGTGGAAGCCGGGGACCGCGCTTACCTCTCCAGACGGCAGCTCCGGGGCTCCTTGCCGAATTATTGACCCAGTATTAGCGACGAGCGCCGCGCCGCCTGCCGCTCCGCTCTGCCGCTCCGTTTGCAACACCAACACAATGAATGAAACACTGGATTTTACCGCACTACCGCTGCATCACTGCGTCCGGGACATCCTAAGCACCGTGCATTATTTGTGCTTAGACTCTCTTTCTAATAAACCATAATAATACGGCGTGTACGTGCACACGCCCGTGAACGACAGCGATCATAAATAAGAGCGTGCAGGAGCAGAGGCGGGGCTACATCCGCGCACGGCACCTGCTCTTTTATTCTAAAAACACCACTCTCTTCTATGTGCGCCTCAACAATGCACCAAAACCAAATGCTTGTCTAGATTCAAACGACAAAAATCAAAAAATTCAAGAGAATTATCTGCGGGAGCTCAAGGCAAAGCATGCTGGGAGTTGTAGTTGACGGAATGCTTGTTTACATCAGCTGTGGATCGCTCCAGAGCTATGACGGAACTATTTGGAGAATAATAGAATAAAATCAAAACATGATATACGTGGAGAGAACAAGGCGAGGACAGACCATTTCATTTAAATCACACAATTCTGCTGCACCGTAGACTGTCTATAGCCTACAGTCTCTGTACAGAGGCTAAACATAGAACTGGATGTAGATCTAAGTAGTACTCTCACAATTTCATGCATCTGTTTCTGCCAACGTCACTCAGGGCAGTCAGCCACACTGGGTCTGTCAGTGTACAAACTTATAACTTGCAGAGGTGGTGATCAGAAGCACTGAAACCTCAAAATCACCTCAAAACTTAATTACCTTTTTATCAGGCCTACAGGCGCACTGTCATACTCACTTTAGCCACGTTTAAGTCTATTAACTTTCACCTGTGATCACAAATGCTTTATTTGACATTTATTTATTTTAAAATCTTTTTTTCAAGGAGACTTGGGCGAAAGGCACATCTGCAGTCAGGAGACACAGTAAAAAGAGATTTTATACAAAACTCAACAACTGAGCCAAATGTGTAATTGAAAAACAGCAGAGACGTGATACTGCACTGCACAGTTTATATGATTCTGCTCAAAAATACATTTGCATCAGTTTTCAAATATGGAAGTATCTATATTGATGATTGAACACACGTCTACTCAGGCAGACATGAGGCCCCTGCAGATCCATGGGCCCCTGACAGACGCTACAGTTACTCTACATAAACACAATGATTCCCATACATCCATCCCTCCATTTTCTTTCTCTTATCCGGGGTCAGGTCGTGGGGACAGCAGTCTAAGACTTCCTTCAACCCAGACACGTCCTCCAGCTTCTCCAGGAGGACCCCAAGGCGTCCCAGGCCAGCCCAGAGCCGGTTGCCGAGACCCCCGCCTCCAACTGTTGCCCAGATCTCTCTGCACCGGCCCCATATGGATTCTCCCGCGGGTGGTGGGTCCACGGGAGGACAGCCCCACATCGCTCCTTCGGGCCCGGCTACCAGGCACTCTCTGGCAAGCACCCACCCCAGGCGTGGCTCCAGGGTGGGGCCCCGGTAACGCCAATCCGGGCAATGTCACTGGCCTTTGAGTAATATTCATCATATGGAGCTTCTGAACCACTGTTGGTCTGACCCATCCCCCGGGACCTGTTTGCCTTGGGTGACCAGGGGCATGAAGCCCCCGACAACATAACTCCTGGGATCATCTGGGCACTGAAACCCCTCAACCACGTTAAGGTGACGGTTTGGGGGGGATTCCTTTACACTGTATTTCAAATACAAATACATTTTCCTCTCCTATCGGCCCGTTTGCAGTTTGGAAATCTGAGCTGTGTCCTTAAAACTTGGTTTAGTCCTCAAAGCTTACCTTATTCACACAGTGTGATACAGACATAAATCACTACTCCTCTTTAAATGTGCCAAAACCTCTAACAATACTCACTCAGACAAATCTGACATTTGTGGGCATGTTTTTCCCCTTTCATGGTTTTCTTAACACTTTCCTAATTTCTACTTTGAGGTTGTTTAATCTATTTTTGGCGATAAACCGTAAGTTGATGCATTTTTTCTCATAGCATTTAAAAATTGTCAATGCCATATGCAGTACTGGGGGAAGCTACTTTTAAAAACGCATTTATTTACACATTAAAAATCTAATGTATTAGACTTAGACATAGACATAATTATAATAACAAAGAGAAATTGTATAATAAAGTCTAAATAAGTAGTGGAAATAGCAACAGACTGATGTCAAATAAGACATAATTATATAAATGTAAATGTACAAGTCAAAATAAATTACAGCAATATATTAATGAAAATATATCTCAGCTATATTTAAGAGGCTGTAAGGAAAATGTGTAAAAATTATATGATGATTGACAGAACATAGGGTTATCTGTTACATAAGGATGAGTTATTGTACAGTTGTAGGGAGTATTATCTGTCCCTCTATAGTCTGGTCCAGTGGGTGAGCAGGAGTGTCCATGATGGAGAGCAGTTTGTCCAGTGCCCTCGTGCCCTTCACTGTGACAAATGTCTCCAGCTCACAGTCAATCACGTGAGCAGTTTTACGGATCAGTTTGTTGATCCGCCCAATGTCTTTTTTACTGGAGCTGCTCCCCCAGCAGACCACAGTCAAGTCCAGGGTGCTGGCCCCACAGACTGGGAAAATAATAATAGATTTGTTTCAGGTGTTTTGTGGAGTGGGTAAGACTGTTTTTATTGGCAGGATAAACTCTGACCATTGACATGCACTAGTCTAACACCAGTGACCTCTGCAAATACAAGGACTGGATGAAATATAAAAAAAAAATGTCTCCACACGTCTCCAACACTCTGGCTCACGAGGAAATGAGGCCCTGTGTCCAAAATTCTGAACTGTCCCTTTAAACACCTGAAACTTCACTCCATCCATAAGCAAAATCCTCCTCAGTGGGTGGTGCCCGGCGGGTTGGGGCGAGCAGGTGTGGGGCTGTGTTGGGGGGGAGCGAGTGTGTGGTCAGACTTTGGAGAGATGATTGACAGCCGACCGATAGCCACAATAATCCAACACGCTGCGGACCAGTGCGCTCCAGACTTTGAAACAGAGCGGACATTTGTGTTCGGATCACGCCGTTTCCCTTTTTTCCAGACACGGCGGGACATGATGGTGCCCGGCGGTGCCAGGTCGGGGCTCCTCATGTACCGCCTGTAGACGCCAGTGGCTGCACTCGTCACATAATAACCTGCATCTGACTCATTGGCGACCGTTAGTCCAACCCAGAAATTCTAATGTTCTGACCGTCGTTGATCGTAAAGAGGTCGACACAGACACGACTTTGACCCAAAAGTCAGATTTTTACAAATATGCACTAAAATGTCAAAATATGGCCAGGGATAGGTACACACTTCTATTGTAGACCCATTTACACAGTAGAAAAAAGTGATTTTTGTGTCTAGTGGTCCTTTAACACACTTCACTTATGCAGTGTTCTTATCCAAATAATAATTCAAGATGGCGCTGTGTTTGTTTTTGTAACCATAGATGTGTACAAAGGGCGTTACTGTTTAGAACAATTCAGAGGTTTCCAGAAACTTACACTAGTTTCAATTGTCCAGGGCCCGACCAAGCCCCCAGGTTCCAAAATGGCCACCCATTCAAGTCAATGGGCCGAGCTCAATGGCGCATGATCCCAGATTAGCCTAGCCTGGCTAGGTACTTCCGGTGGCTGTGGGCCGACCGAGCATGCGCAGTAGTGCTCTTTTCTACCGCGGGGACACGCGAATGCACGCGAACGCACGCACGGTGCGCGGGTTCGTGTATCACGTGATCGCTTTGACCAATCAGAGCGAGAGGAGCTAGAGCGGAGCAGAGCGTATCCGAAGCTAATGATTTTAAAGCGTTTGTTAAGACAACTGAAGGATTTTGAGCTGAGAAAAAGTGCATGATCTAAAAATAGGTAAAAATCGCCACAAAATCCGACATTTTTGAAAGTTGTAGGTGCCCTGTCAGCCGAACACGAGCAGTTTGTGATTACATTGCGCTCAGTGAGAAAAATCTTCTCTCGGCCCATGGGATTTTTTCGACTGTAGTACCACTGAGTGGCCACTACGTCAACTCGAGGCAGCTACAAGCAGCAACACTGTATCCAGTTATTTTAATAGAGCCATGGGCCCGACTCAACTCAACTCAAATGTGCCGCCTTAAAACCTCGAGTCCTCCTTTCCGCCGTATGTCCCGCCCCCGGAAGCAAAAGCAGCCAATCAGGAGCGAGGCTGGGCGCTCCGGTCACTTCCTATTGGCTCTCTTCTTGAGGAATCAGATGAGGAGTTGAGGAATCTAAGGATTTACGGAGGTTTTTTTAAAACTCGGACGCGCCCTTAATGGTTGACTTTCGTTTCACAGTAAATTCGCTCTCAGAAGACGTCGCGCGCTGCTCAGGTGAGGTGCTGGACTTTTCTGTTATTCTGTTGCTCGGAGCGGAAAAACAATGACCAGTACATTAGAGTACATGTACAATGATGGCATGAAAATAGAAATAAAAACTAGGGGAAGAGTCATAGACTGAACGGGAAAAGAACACGTGACCGACAAGCGCTTTTATAACCACAGAAGTCATTGGGGTTGGGGGTTGGGGGTTGGGTTTGACGCGCGGGAAACACGGGAGGAGGCGCGGACCGCGCGACATGGTTTAGTTCAGTTTAGTTAAATCCTGTTTTAGTCCTTGTTTTAGACCTGATTTAGACCTGTTTTAGAAATAATTTTAGTTCTGGTTTAGTTCTGTTTTTGTCCTGGGTTTAGTTCTGGTTTAGAGACGTGGGAACCGCGCGAGGAGCAAAGAATAATGACGTAATGAGGAACACAACAACATAACATTACAGAGGTTTGTGCATTTCTGTTTACAGTTATTAGATCATGTAAAAATATATATATCATATTATATTGTATTGTATTACATTGTATTGTAATCACACTAGATAATCTAGATGTATTATTCTGAGTGTTTGTGTGGTTGAATGTTCAGCATACATCTGAACATTAACAGTAGGACAGAATATTAAAAATGACATTCTTAAGGACAAATCCTCTCAAATTTAAACAAACTGATTGTGACACATCAGCATGAAATTACAGTTTCATATGTACATAGAAAAAATTTGTCATCAATTAGTCATCTTCAAATTAATCCCAAAATGATCTCCGTGTCTCCACTGGCTCATCTGCTATAACACAAATAATGTTCCACACCCCATTTTGCCATAGAACATGTATGAGTTCATTCCATGGGAAACTTGCAGATTTAGGATAAAAACTGAGATGTGAAAAAGTCATGAATAATCTCGGTCCATAACAATAATCTTAATCCTCAAAATCTCCTCGGGGTCACTTTGACCCAAAGAATTTTTTTTTCCTTCCCGCTCTCGTGGGGCAGGTCATTCAGAGTCACAATTTAAGTTTACACAGTTTATGACCAACCATCCCAAAATCTGGTCACTACACTCAGGCTTCTGTGGTCAGAGATGATTTTCTCATAGAACAATGTAAAATGAAACTCCTTTTGTTTTAAACCAAATCTTTAACATGAACTATTTACAGAAACACTGGATATTCATGTGAAAAATATATTTCACTTGTCAGTCTTGTTTAAAATGAATGTGAAGTGATACAGCCACAGATATATCTGTGACCTTTGACCTCTGTCTGCTGCTTTTGTGGTGTTTATGTTACAGGTGAGTCACGGTGTCACAGGGTTCACTTCTGTCCTTGTTCTGTCCTGTGCTGCACAGCCTCTGTCAGGTATTGTACTGCCAAATCCTCATTCAATTCAATCAAACTTTATTTACAAACTGCTTTATATACAAAAATGTAACACGATTATTTTAAAGTCGTCAAAACAATCTCAAACGCCTTTGTGCGCGCACACACACACACACACACACACACACACACACAAACACACACAAACACACCTACACCTACACCTTCAGTGATGGATCAAAAACAACTGCTTTACTAAATATTACATTTTTAAAAACTTACAAATGTCCAGGAGGAAACATGGCTGAGGGATACAGCTCATATAAGGTAATATTATATAATATATTACACCTTTTCCAGATAATTGTCATGTCTAATTATTATTAATTATATTACTGTTTTGTACATTTTATTCAATAGGTAAAGACAGAGGATGACTACATGTGTAAGGTTTGTATCTACACTCTGTATAATTTATGTAAGATTAATTTTTAATTAAGTTAGGTTTTCAATAAAAAAGTAAGTTTTGGAGTAGTTTTCTGGCCTCAGGGTCAGTCCATATGAAATCAGCTGCCCTCCTTATGATCCATCTCAGATTTGGCTGAAAAAAATTTTAAAAAATTTCTAAAATGATCAAATGGAAGAATCTAAAACTTCAGCTCAATCCCTTCAGTCGTTCCTGAGTTATGACCCCTTGAAATTTTGGGGCCATTTCCACTTTTTCAGAAGCCTTAATTTATAAGCATTTTTGAGAGACCAGAACTTTATAAAAAATAAAATATTGAGTATCTTTATTAAGGGGGGGCGCTGTGGGCCCCCAAAATCTCAAATTTGGTTGTTGCTCAATTTTTTTTTTCAACTTTTGAGATCCAAGATCTATTTACTCCAAGCAGATATTTACAAACTAACTCTTGAACTGAACTTATATATTATTATTATTATATAATATTTGAGAGATTGACCATTTCTGACACAAATCTCACACTTTTCTGAGCTTTCCTGTGGATGGTGTAGAGTCTCAAATATGTTCACAGACCAAATGTGATCTTTTTGGCCTCTTCTTTGGAGCCTCGGTTCCCCATGTGGCACAGTTAGATGTTGATCAAATTTTTACCAGAGAAACTTTGGCATATGCTTATAAGTTTAAAGTAATAAAAACATCTACTATTAACTTCTTTAAATTTCAAACGGAATGTTTGAAAATGAGCTCTCACAGGTAATTTTTGGTGGAGCTTAGGGACTTTTCCACCCGATAGAAAAATTCAGTTTCCTTTAATAGACTTAAACACTATTTGCTTGTTATAAGCAAAGACACTTGGAGGTTATTTGTGGTACATTGTTTGTGATGGTTTTGGTGGCTCAGTAAAATGCTCGGCTGCAAGGACCAGTCTTCAGGCAACTGACTCCAGATGCTTGAGTGAGCTTCACAAAACAAAGAATGTGGAGTTTTTCTTTGTAAGCTCTAAAGACTTTACAAACCATAAACTTACTTTCTAAACTACAAGAGCACTACAGCAAGGTAAAGACTGTGAATGGTACTAGATCACACCACAGGTTCATTCCGGTGTCAAATGGTAAATTAGAAATGAGAAATGAGAATATCTCAAGATCATTTATGTACTGAAGTGTCAGTTTCTGAAATACAAAATGAGATTGTGCCAGATTTCTCTCTGTACCAGCAGGTCAATACAGAGCATGTAGAGTCGCGGACAAAATTGTTGGTATCCCTCTGCCAATCAAAGAAAAATCAACAATAAATCACTGAAATAACTTGAAATTGAGAAAAGCAATAATACATTTTTAAAAAATACTGAAAATTGTCCAATAAAAATCAAACATTGCTTTTCATCTGTGGTTCAACAGAATCATTAGAAAAAACAAAATAATGAAACTGGCCTGGACAAAATGATGGTTCCCTTAACTTAATATTTAGTTGCACAACCTTTTGAGGCAAACTCTGCCAACAAATGATTTCTGTAACTGTCAATGAGACTTCTGCTCTGATCAACAGGTATTTTGACTCATTTCTCATGAGTAAACTGTTCTAGTTGTCTCGGGTTTGAAAGGTTCCTTCTCCAGACGCATGTTTCAGCTCCTTTCACAGATGTTCAGTAGAATTGAGATCTGGGCTCACAGAAGAACACTCCAGAACAGAAGAACGCTCCAGAACAGAAGAACGCTCCAGAACAGAAGAACGCTCCAGAACAGAACACTCTAGAACAGAAGAACGCTCCAGAACAGAAGAACGCTCCAGAACAGAAGAACGCTCCAGAACAGAAGAACGCTCCAGAACAGAAGAACGCTCCAGAACAGAAGAACACTCTAGAACAGAAGAACGCTCAGAACAGAAGAACGCTCTAGAACAGAAGAACGCTCTAGAACAGAAGAACGCTCTAGAACAGAAGAACGCTCCAGAACAGAAGAACGCTCCAGAACAGAAGAACGCTAGAAGAACTCCAGAACAGAAGAAGAACGCTCCAGAACAGAAGAACGCTCCAGAACAGAAGAACAGAAGAACGCTCCAGAACAGAAGAACGCTCCAGAACAGAACAGAAGAACGCTCCAGAACAGAAAGAACGCTCCAGAACAGAAGAACGCTCAGAACAGAACGCTCCAGAACAGAAGAACGCTCCAGAACAGAAGAACGCTCCAGAACAGAAGAACGCTCCAGAACAGAAGAACGCTCCAGAACAGAAGAACGCTCCAGAACAGAGACAGAACAGAGAACAGAAGAACACTCTAGAACAGAAGAACGCTCCAGAACAGAAGAACGCTCCAGAACAGAAGAACGCTCCAGAACAGAAGAACGCTCCAGAACAGAAGAACGCTCCAGAACAGAAGAACGCTCCAGAACAGAAGAACAGAAGAACGCTCCAGAACAGAAGAACGCTCCAGAAGAGTCCAGAGTCCAGTGTTTTGTTTTTTAGTCATTCTTGGTGTTTTTCGCTGTGTGTTTTGGGTCATTATCCTGTTGGAAGTCCCATGACATACGACTGAGACCAAGCTTTCTGACACTAGGCAACACATTTTGTTCCAAAATACCTTGATAGTTTTGAGATTCCGTTGTATTTTGCACAGATTCAGGACACCCTGTGCCAGATGCAGCAAAACTCTGTGAACATAGAGCTGATGTGTCTTGCCAAAGAGCTCTAGTTTTGTCTCATCTGTCCAAAGAACATTCTCCCAGAAGCTTTGTGGCTTGTCAGTTTGCATCGTGACAAATTCCAGTCTCACTTTTTTATGATTTTCTCTCAACAGTGGTGTCTCACTTGAAGTCCACTTTGGCTCAAACAGTGATGGATGGTGTGATCTGACACTTATGTACTTTGCCCTTCAAAGTCACATTTAATTTCTTTGGAGGTTGTTCTGGGCTCTTTGGATTCCATTCGTATGATCCATCGCTTCAATTTGTCATAATTTTTCCTCTTGCGGCCGTGTCCAGGGAGGTTGGCTTCAGTCCTGTGGACCTTAAACTTGTGAAGAACATGTGTAACTGTAATCACAGGAACATCACACTGCTTGGAGATGGTCTTATTGTCTTTATCTTTATCCTGCTTGTTTATCATTTTCTTTCTAGTCTCCTGACACAGTTCTCTTCTTCTCTTTCTCTGGTCCATGTTCAGTGTTGTGTCCATCATGTCTCCAAACAGCACAATGACACATGTCCCTCTTTAAACAGACACACTGACTGAGGACAAGTTTGAAGAACCTGTGATGCAGATTAGAGACACAGCTGAGTTTAACATGTCCCTATTGTTCATTATTGTTATTTACAATCTTTTCTAGAGGTACCATCATTTTTGTCCAGGCCAGTTTCATTCATTTTTTTTTAAATATAATTCTGTTGAACAACAAATCAAAAACAGAGTCTGATTTTCATTGGTTATTTTTCAGGATTTTTAAAATGTTTTTATTGCTTTTCTCAGTTTCAAGTTATTTCAATAATTTTACTTGAGTAATCTTTTGCCCTGGTATTTGTACTTTTACTTATTTTTTTTACTTGAGTACTGTCATCCACCACTGTTGACTTACTGCAATAGTAGTTTCCCCAAATTCACCCAAAATTGGCTTAGCCCTTATGTTTACTTTAGTAGTTTTTGTTCATCTACCGATGTCTACACCTCTACTAGTCTTTTTAAGATTTGTTTTGAAATGGCTTTAACCTGTTGGGTTTGTCTTGCAGGAAAACCATTCCCATACATTTATTTTAAAGTTCTCCAACTCTGAAGAGACATACAGGATCCACTGTGATCGTCCCCAAACGGTGCTGGAGGCCATCAGATACAAGGTGGACGTGCAGCAGAAGCTGAAGTGTGAGGAGCAGAATCTGACTGTGCAGATCGGAGAGGCTCCTCAAGGCACGGCCATCCCCACACACTTCCCCTGCGTTCTGCCTGAAGGAGGGAGAGCTCATCACTTTAGCAGCAAAGAATGAAGAGGTGGAACATGGAAAGACAAAACAAGAAGAGGAGAAACAACAAGGAACATTCAACTACTATCTCCTGTTCATCCAGACAAAAGGAGGGCTCAATGCAAAAACAAAATCACTTTTTAGAAGTTCCTCCATTAAGAAGTTCACACAGCTGTGCATCTATGGAACCAAAGGCATGACCATCAGAGACGCCATCGCACATGATGGCCGCTTCACAGAGCTGGGGCATTTTTACTCTGGAAGATGTTTCAAAAGAAAAATCTTATGTCTTCAGTAATGATAACATTGAAGCACATGAAAATAAAACGTTCAGGATTTGTTTTGGAAAGATGACAAAACCAACAGTGAACACAAAGGCAGAAAAACAGAGCACAGAGCAGAAGTCAGCAGAGCCGGGCCAGGCCCAGGACGCCTCAGGCCAAACCCAGAGGACAGCACAGGTCCCACCGAAAGCAGGGGAAACTGAGAAGATCATTCCACTCACTGAGGTTCTGAAAAGAAAGGAAACAAAAAGTGAAAATGTCGAAGAGATATATCAGCTTCTCCGAGAGCAGTTTCCTGATTTGAAGAAAATCATGCAAGACCGATATCCTGGAGACACTTTTAAGGAGACGCTAAAGAAAGTGGATTTCGGGAAAGCGCAGCAGTCTTTCACAGATGTTTCCCGACTCAAAAAGCTGCTTAAACTGGGCACGTCCGTCGGCAAACTGGTGGTGGGGAATGCATGTGTGGGAACTGCGTTTGTGCTTTGTCAAAACTACATCATCACAAACGCACATACATTTAAAGACGTGGTGCACGACAACATCCTGGACCCCAATGTAGAAGTGGTCATGTTATTTAATTTGATAAATCCTGTTCTGGAGAACACTTCTCGCTTTATTGCTCATAAGATGATTGACTTTGACAGGGAACAGGACTATGCTGTTCTGGAGCTTAAGGTCAATGATCAGGACAAAACCAAAGTCCCTCCTGGACTCATGAAGCTGTTCTGCCCAAAGCCGGAGAGTGGAGAGGCCTGCATCATTGGTCACCCGGCCGGCGACATACAGAGGATCGACCCCACGTGTATCATCGAGAACAAGTCCAGGACTGAGGAGGTCAAAAACCACCTTGACAGGTTCAAGGACAATATGTTTGCCCACCTGTCTGTCAGTCATTTAATCGAAAAACAGGGCATCTCCAGGATCCTGTCTGAGAGTGATCCCCTGTACAAGTCTCTGTCCACCTACCACACCTTCATGTACCACAGCTCCTCTGGCTCCCCGGTGTTTGACGCCTGCTGCAGAGTCTTTGGGCTGCACTCTGGGGGCTTCGTCTACGGCCTGCTTCCTCTACGGGAAAGTGTCATAGAGTTTTCTCATCCCCTGCTCCTGATTTTTGAAAAGTTTGTAACTTCTCTGAAAAACAGAAATCAAGATGAAGTTCTGAGTGTTGTGAAGGAGCACTCAAAACGAAATGCTCACCTGAAAAAAATCCTGAAGAAAATTATGGGATTAGAAAACCCTGAGCCCATGGACACAAGCTAATCTCTAACCACCATGAGTGATTCCAACATTCCAAATTCTTTAGTTTCTCCTGTAACAGAGCAGATTGTTGGACATATTTGATCGGCTATAGTCCGCAGTCCTCAGGAGACACGTGATGTCTCTTTTGACACTGACTGGAATGACAGTGCCCTCTGCAGGTCATATTCAGAACAATATACTAACTGTGGGAAAGCCTTCCATTATAACCCAGTACATTCCTGCCATGTGGAGACTTTTTTTTTTGGCTGTAAGACTTTATAAAATTATTTCCTGAATATTTGTTGTTTCCTCTTTTCCAAGTATGCAAAACAGGTCACAAGGGCTTAAAAAATATATATATGCAGGCCAACTTTTCCTATGTATACAATCAAGTCTAACTTAACCTTATCACTTTGAGTTTTTAATTTTGTGGGTTTTAATAAAATGTATTCATCATGGTTGAAATACATTTATGTCAAGATTTGTCAATATTTAATGCAAATGTAACTACATAAATTGATCAAGTTTTCTTCGCTTTTATTCAAAAATAAATTGCATGTTATTTATTGGTGGGTTTGTTTGTTCTTATTCACACTCACTAGTCCAGTTGTTACATCAAAAACAAACCTGGAGTCGTTTCATTTCATTCACACCTTTGAGTCAAAGCTAAAATGCTCCGTTCCACCTTGTGATGTCACACTGTAGCCAAGTTATCATTGACCTTTAGTTCAGTAGAGATAGTGAAGGTGTATGGAGGGTAAATGAAATGCCAGTTATGTTTTTGATGAACCATAGCAGATCAGAATATGGCACAGTAAGAACCATTTAAACAGTGACAGGCCCCTTTAGTCTAGGTTCAGATCCAACCCAGAGAAAACCCACAACTCACATGAAGCTTTACTCTCACTTTATTTATATCTTTATTAATAATTTCACACATTTGAGCCGGTGCTCTTTCCGAGCGCCACAAAAAACGACAAACAAAAGTCAAGTAAAAGAAAAGACGTTTCCTCTTCCTGGGTGGAGATGTGCGGAGCCTGTATAAAGGCTGTAGTGCAAAACGAACAGGTGACATCACAACAGAACAGCAGCGCCTCCTACCGTGAAGGGAAAAACAACGCAAAAGTGCACCACCACCACCAAAAGTGCCAGTTCATCAGGGGCCCGGTGATTGGCAGGAGGTGGTCGGAGGGGGCGGGCTCTCCGGGGAAATTCATGGTAAAACTGAAGGCCGTCGGCCGCGAGCACAGACCTGGTTAGTTTAAAATATTCAGGGTGAGGTCGGGTGGGGGGCGTTTATCTGTAGTACACAGTCAAACATTCTTTCGCACGCTAAATTTTTATGACATTTCAACCTTTTTTGTGGTTAAAATGCATTGTAAAAATCTAAGCGGGCGACAAAGTTTGACTCGTCGATAGTAAAAATCGTCACAGCCCTGGTCTCGGGGGTTTTTGGGGGGGGGGGACTGGGGTCAGGGAGGTGCACAGGTTTGACAGTCCTAATATGGAACCCACAGGTAATGGTCGGACACCACGGGCACCTGCTGGTCGTCTGAATCCAGATCTGAGGAGAAAAGGAAAAATCAGATTTGCCAGTTTTCACGTAGTTATGTTAAAGGTCAACAGTCAATTTTGTGTAATGACAATAACAAATATCGTAATATTGTATTGTCAAAACTCACGACATATCAATGTGCAAGGTTTTTCACTTAAAAGTATTAAAAAAAGGGAACTGCATAGGCTTTTACTTCATTTACTACATAATTTATAAAAGTGCTTAAAACTTATTAAAATAAAAGTGGCTTGAAGTCGTCGTGGCATGTTTCCAAACGTTCTCCTGGTTTTTGACGTGTGAATAGAGCCTACTGGCATTGAAAACCTGTATCTTTCATTTTTCAAAATAAAACCAAAAATAAGAAAACGAAAAAACTATTTTCTTCATTATTTGTCTCAAACCAAAAAGAAAAAACAGATAATGATTAATTTTTTCAGTTTTCTATTTTGTGTTTAAATGGGGGAAAAAACAAACAAAAAAAAAACACAAAAAGACCTGGACCGCGACCTGGACCGCGACCTGGACCGCGACCTGGACCGCGACCTGGACCGCGACCTGGACCGCGACCTGGACCGCGACCTGGACCGCGACCTGGACCGCGACCTGGTTCAGTCCTGGTTCACAGTTTAAGTTACGTAAATGGGAAACTGCAGTTATCCGTTTTTTCCATTATTCATTTAACCACAAAAACGAAAACTGAAAATACGAATCATTATCTGTTTTTTCATTTTGGTTTTGGAGACAAATAATGAAGCTTTTTTTTTCCCTTTCGTTTTCTTATTTTTGGTTTATATTGAAAAACAAATGAACAAATGATGCTTGAATTATTGACCCTTGCCTTGAAAACCGTGTGTGATGCGTTCACTGACCTCGGGCGCGGTTGGCCTCAAGCAGGAGCTGGAGCCAGTCGGTCATGTGATCGCCGGAGGTCAGCTGACTCAGGAGGGAGGAGCCAAGGCCAGGGGGAGAGCGGGGAGGCGGGTGGCACTCCTAAACCAAAAAAACAAAAAGCTAAATTATAATATTCATTAGCTGATTCGGACATTTCCAGTGAATATACAGTGAAGAGGGACAGTAGTTTCATGAGTGTCTTTTCAAGATGCTGTAGAATTTAAGGCTCATTTATGCTCCACTTCCATAAACGATCTGTGCGTAGCAACTCACTGCATTCATATACTTCCAAATGTTTCTCATGTCAAGGCTGTGTTCTGTTAAACCACCACCAGAGGGCACTAAAAGCCAGGTAAAGAGTTGACCAAAGTCATTAAATAGAGCAAGAAATAAACACTGAGGCGAGAAAAATGAGGTGATAAGTATTCATTTGTTTCATAGCTGGTTCTAATCGCTTTTTAAAAAGTTTTGCTTCCGCTGTCGAGCTGTGTTCTTTGTGTTTCTGTTGCCAATACTACACATGTTCTGAGCTTTACAGAATGACGCAGAAGACGAGTCCGAAGAGTCTATGTATCCATCCAAAGGCTCAGTGTGATGTCGAGTTCCATTTGACCCATTAGGAAAAAACATCACCCCTCTCTGCAACTGCTGCTCTCAGGCTCATCATTTTCAGCTTTAAAAGTTTTGATTAAGCTGCTCTACAGACCAATCTGTGGTGCAGTGCCACAGAATGAAAACAAAGCGCCACAAATTGATTCCTCTTTTTTCCAATGTGACCATCACTCGCTGAGAGATACACAGTAGTGCATACATGTCATTGGGGGTACACTTATAAAACACTTGCACTATTTGCTTTCCAGACCCGACTGCCTGCGGTGCAATGGTGGGACGGGAAACCTTCCCTCCCACGGAGCAGAGCGTCCGCAAAGTGCTCTGTGCCGGTCCTATCTCCACCATAAACCATAACGAAGCCGCACAATAAATGGGCCAGAACCCAAGAAAGTCCCTTATGATCGGGCACAGAATAATTTTTCAGAAAGCCTCGTAAAATTAGCTGTTCTGACAGGGCATGCATATACACCACATTAATGCAGTCTGTGGAAAACTGATATTAACAGACCATAACAGACAATCAGACTCCTTTCCCCAAGGTCTCTCCCGCCAGTGCTGCAACAGGTTTGATTGACAGTTAAAGTGCCCGCTCCCTGTCAAACCAGCGGCGTTTCCTTCAACACCGTCCAGACTGGCTCTTTACTGCCATCTTATTTCCGTATTTGGAATTCAGACCTTAGTATAACTACACTACGGGTGACGTCACACTCTCAGTCTATGATCGGGTAGCATGGCCTGTTGCTGATAGTTGTAGATGTGAAACAGTTTTAAACAAAGGTGTTTTACCAGAGGAGAGCCTGGGACACAGGCAGAGGAGCTGTGCGGTGAAGCGTCAGTCTCGTCCTCTCTCTGCCCGTCTCCGCAGAGGTCAGAGGTCATCCGTGCCAGCTGCTTCTGCCTAAAAAACACAGACAATCACATCATTAGAAGGTCTCAGTTTAAATTCATCTGAAAGCCTTCACTGGAACACACGCGTTACCTTTTGTTTTGAGATCTTATATGCACCGAAAACAATTAAAAACAAAGTGAAAGTTAAAAACATTTTGCACTAAGTCACTCCACCGCCCGCTTCCAATAAGACTCCTCAAATTTGGCCTGAATACAGAGATACTCCCAAATATTAACTCTAACCCCAACTCCTTGCTTTCCCTCCATTGACAAGACTCCAGTCTGAATGGTCAGGTCACATTCATTCCACTTACACATGTCAAAAGATCTGATATGCATCAGTTTCAGGAGCACATATCCAAGTGTCCTGGGTCACATTTGGGGGGAAAAAAACAACAACAAAAAAACAGATCTGTCTCATTCAGATTATCATTAAAAGATCAGATACAGGATCTTAGGGGCAAAAAAAGACAGATTTGGGTCACTTCAGGCTGCAGTCTGAACGTAGCCTTAGATGAGGGTCCAGTGACTTTTTTGGGCCTTCTTATAAACAACTTTGCATAATAGGCTCTATTCACGCTTACGTCACAAACCAAGAAGACGTTGGAAACAACCATTTTCTTCATTATTTGTCTCTAAAACCAAAATGAAAAAACAGAACGATTTGTTTTTCCAGTTTTTGATTTTGTGTTTAAATGAATAATGGAAAAAACGGATAACAGCCGTTTCCCACTTCCGTGACCACGATGCTGGACTTTTGCACCGCATATGGACTAAGCCATCTCCAGCGCCCCCCCTCTGGACTCCGTATGTGGTGCAAAAGTTCAGCATCGCAGTCACGGAAGTCACAGAAATGGGGTGGCCCCGGTTTCAGTTTTTTTTCCTGAAAACAAAAATCTTTATCCATCTATATTTTGGTTTTGGAGACAAAAAATGAATCATTTCCTTCTTATTTTTGGTTTTATATTGAAGAAAGAACAATACACTGATTCTGTTGGAAGTTGTCGTTGCCTTTCCCCAAACGTCTTCCTGGTTTGTGACGCAAGTGTGGATAGAGCCTGTACTCTCTCTTTAAATAAATCAGACCACAAACACGCAAGAGTCCCAAAATGTGGACCAAACTTGTGATTTTAACAGTAGCTTCACCCACAGCTGCTCCACAGGGTCCTGCTCCCTCGAAGGCCCCTCCCTCAGGTGTTGGTCGGTGGGCGGGTCCCACAGATGCAGGGCCCGCCTCCACAGTCGCACCTGCATGTCCCACGACCTGCGGCTGTACTTCCTGTGTTTGTTTGGGGTCGAAGGGTGGAGCTTTGGGTCCCGGAGGTGTCTGAAACAAAAATATACAAGCCCACTAACAGTTTTCTTCATTTAGAGTGAGTATGACTGGCATGATCCCATCAAAGGTTTATTTAAGTCTAGGATTTAGTTTTAGATTGTATATACACGTTATTTTTTGGACTACAAGTCGCACTTTTCATGTGACATATTAAAATGTTTCAGTGAAGCGGTGAGAGGCTCTAGTCTTGTGTGTCAGTATCTGCTGCTCCTGTTCCACGGTCACTTGGCTCTACTGCACATGTCTCCTGCAGAAAGAGCCTCTGTCCTGTCTGTATGTCAGTCGATCGCACCATTACTTCTGCACCACTGAACAATTTATAAGTTTAAAGTTTAAATGTTAAAGACGACTGAGAAGACTGAACACAAATGCAACCAAAAAAGAAAATCAGATTCTGCAGATTACAAAGTGCAAGTCATGAAATCTGCAGCTGAAAATGGAAATCGAGCAGCAGAGAGAAAGTTTGGAGTGAGAGAGAAACTCGTGACATCGGGAGGATGCACCATGAAACTTTCCTGAAGTCACTGGATGGATGGACAAAGCCTGAACTTCAGTGACACTGAAACCATCCTGTCGGGATTCAGAAAGACACGAATAATTCTAACTGGTCCTGATGCTGAGTCTGACGACAGCGACACAGAAGAGGAAGCGACGCTCTGTTTACCTCCAGAGGTTGGAGTTGTTCAGAAGTGACACCGAGGATGATTTGGAGTGAGATGGAGAGTTTGATAAACTTGTTCTGTTGTTTATGTTATAGTTTATCTGAAGAACTGTTCATATGTGACGTTAACAGTCTGTTGTTCTCTCTTCTATTGTTTTTACTACAACTTGACTTCACACAGGAAATGTCTGCTCCTGCTCTCCAATTTTAGTTTTTGGCTGGTGAGACTTATACTCCGAAAAACACAGTATATAAATGAACATAATTCGCCGTCAGTCTCTGTATTTTCCTCTCACCTGGGCACTTGTTGGAGGTAGTTCTGGTATCCCGTGGTGTTTTTGCCGTACTGGATCTGCTTCTGTCTTCGTTTCAGAACCGCGGCATTGGTCTCTGTGTTTGCCGGGTCGGGCAGACGAGTCGGACAGCGCCCCCCGGGAGGCCTACAGGAGTATTACAACACTACAGCTTACTTTGACCTGGAATGTTCCACAGCATGGCATTAATTAAACTAGTTTATGGAGCTAAACATGTAACAGGAAAAGCCAAGACAGCCAAGGTCCAATCTGGAGAAGTGACCCCGTTCACGACAACAAAAACACCAGCAAAATGATTAATGCCATAAATGTGGAACATTCATCTGAAACATGCCCTTATCCAAATGACTCAAAAGTAAATACACATTTTGAAAAGTACAGATAAACGGAGTAATGTTTGTAATGATCAGACAAAACACTAAGATCACGTAAAATAATGATTTTTTTTAAGTTAAAAGTGCAAATTTTATTTTAGAGATGAGTTTTCTTCATGGCTGATAAACTCTGGGAAAAAAAATCAAAATCATCCCAAAAATTGCAAATGATGTAATTTACAGCAGATCTATTCTGTAAAACTGACTTATGCTACAGTGTTTTCCCCTCACCATTCACTCACCCCAAGTTGTGTTTGGAGTGATTCGTTTGAGTAATCTTTCAAAATCAGCAAAACGGCATCCTGAAAATTTGTGATTAATCTCAGTTTTCACTGCTCTATACTTGGTTTTCCAGTTTGATTTTCTTGATCTGCAGCAATCCATAAGAGTGAGGACATTTACGGCGACATCAGCTCCCATTTTAACGTAATGTGGAAGTCCGTGGACTTGCATCTTTTATGAAGTCATCAGTATTGAGATTTAAAATGTCCAAATTATAATAACGGTCCACCAGCATCAGCTTATAACAGGGATCCAACCTTTTGCGTCCGGCGAGCTACCTTTACAAAATGAAAATTCTAAAGCGCTACTCATTTTAGTGGTTGTTAGAAATTAATTCGATCTAAGAGGGTGAGCCTTAGATGTAGTTAGGGGTCTATAAAACAAACCATTGTCCATTTATTAATGCACAAAAGGTCAAAATAACACATTTACAGTGGTAATTAATCAAATTTCAGTTATTTAGTACAATATGTATAATTCGGAAACCCCTTGGTGAGCTGCTTGTACAGGGTTGGAGAGCTCCCCTGACCCCTGATTTCTAACTATAAAACAGACCTGGTGCTCGTGTCTGTTCTGAAGTTAGTATAAACGCACCCACAGCGCTTTACCAAACACCTCCAAAAGCTGTGGAGTAACTTTCTGCAGTCATCTCTTCACACTAAAGTATTCAACTAAAGCTTCATGTGGATTATTTAAGCAGGTCAGCCAAAACTATACATCTGCCCGTGCTGGAGGATTTTTTTGTTTCAAATTGTCAGTGGAAAGTTTAAAATACCATTAGAGATGCAGCAGTCTTGTAATTATGATGACCAAAAAAAAAGAATGAAAATCTATCAACTGTGGACATAGTGAGGCCAGATAAACATCAGCCAATAGAAAACAAGGCTCCCTCATCCCTCACCAAACTCCATATGTTTCTAGTGTAACTGACTCGCCGATGTGCAGGGATTACATGGTTTATGCGGCGGTTTTTAGAGGCTTTTTTAAACTGTACTTTCCTCGCAGTTTGCACAAAGTTTGTTGCGATGGCGGACGAGAATCCACGACCAGTTCACCGCAAAAGAAAGTCAGTTTTTGAGGTCGCTGAAAGAAGAAGAGGAGCGAAGTCAAACCGAGGTGATTCTTGGAGATTCCTTCCAGTGATGGCGCGAACAAAGCACACGAAGGGTCCAAAAACTGGCGCATCTTTCACAAAATTATTTCTAGACAGGTAACTTCAACAGTAATTCTGAATGTGCACTAACGTAATGTAAACAAATGTGATTTCTAGAGTAAAGAGGCAGGAGATGTTTCTACTGAGGGAGCTGGTGTCACACATGCACAACATTTGAAAAAGGACTGTCACTATTTCTTTTCCCTTAAAAAAGCCTCTATATAACCTTTAAGGCTGACGCTCCACAAAGTGTCGATATATCGATCCGTTTCTTCTCATATTCAATCTCTAGCGTTGCGTTCACTGACCTCTTGTCCAAGTCGTCCGTCCCAACACAGACGCTGCTTGTCGTCACTTTGAGGATGCAGCGCTCCAGAATCGAAGGTCTGAGGAAAACACATTTTTAAAAAGTGTTTATGCTCCAATTCAAGTACAATTTTCTCATACAAATAAGTGACCTAGTATAATTATAGATGCAAGTGTCTCTTAAAAAGGTCAATAAGATCGCTGTGTGCGCTCTGTCCAGATGATTCTAGTGAAGGTGTATGGAGTTCAAAACTTCAAAAAAAAAAAAAGCATTTTCTGTATCACCACATGACATCACAGTGTACAGTGGGTCATTTGGAAATAAACCGCAAAGAAATTTCAGTTATTAAATTCACTTTCAGTATTAATTTCAGGTCATTGCGCCAAAGGAGATCAGAAGTGGTTTACCGTCGTGGTTTGTTGGTGCAGTCTGGACGCAGCCCACCAGCCGGAGGAGACGGGATCGGAGACGCGTTACTGCAACAAGAGAAATCAGATCAGCACACAGACTGTCAAGTCATTTTATTTATATAGCCAGTGTTGGGGAGTAACAGATTACATGTACCGGAGTTACATAATCAGAGTACAAATTATGAGTAACTGTATTCAGTTACAGTTACTGTTTCAGTGACTGGTAATTGGATTACAGTTACTTTGTTGAAATAAATGGATTACACAGAGGGATTTTCCCGTTTTCACATGAGGCTATATCCCTTTTTTATTTTTTTATTTTTTTTTCTTGGCAATTCCACTCATTGCCGGAAACTAAACCAGGACCTAAACACCAGGACCTAACAGGACTAAATCATGCTGCGTGGACCATGTCTCCTCTGTCAATAATATTTTTAAAGACTCTGCCTTTTCATTTTCTTTTAGCAAACAATGTAAAGATTTCCTCGTCTTTGCTTCTCTACAACAAATCAAGTAATCTAAAGTATTCAGATTACATTACTCAGTTTAATGGATTCCGTTACAAACTACATTTTGTAATCTAATTTGTAGGCGAATACATTTTAAAAGTCACCTTCTCAACGCTGTATATAGCACATTTAAAAACAACCATAACAAGTTGCACCAAAGTGTTTTACAGCAAAACAACATGGTGATACACGAAGGCAAATATAAATGATATAAAAGATTACATAAACGAGTGACTTGATGCACAAAGATAATAGTTTAAAGTAGAGCTCATGGGCTGTTAAATGCCATCTTGAAAAAAAAATGTTTTTAGGAGGGTTTTAAAGCGAGGCAGGTAGGGGCAAGATCTTAGGTGAAGAGGGAGGGCATTCTAAAACTTGGGGGCAAGAACAGAGAAAGCTCGGCCTCCCCTGGTTTTGAGGCGGGATGGTGGGACGGACAGGAGGTTGTGAGAGTTTGAGGCTGTGTGGGAGGTTAAAAGATCAGTGATGTACTGTGGCGCAAGTCAGTCAAGTGATTTAAAACAAATAACATTTTAAAATCAATATCTGGGTTTCATGTGACGTCACAGGGCTACGTTTGTCAGCACGCAAAATCAGATGGAGGGAAGTGAACTGACTGGAGGAAAATGCCCATGTGTTGTGTAGTTTACGGCTGTGCCAATTGTTCTAATCGAGAGAAGGAAAAGCGATTTTTTAGAGTACTGAAAATAGTCGTCCACAAAGGTCAGAAATGGGAAAAGCCGACAGAACAACGCCATAAAAGGTGGATTACAAAACTGTTTGTGGTCGGGAGGAGCAGATTCCGCAAATGCTCGTGTCTGCAGTGACCACTTCGTCAAAGGTTTGTTACAAAGATAAATAGTTTTTTGTGGTTTACCTAAACATAAACGAATCATTAATGACTAACGGCTAACGACGTTTGTTGACATTAAATAGTTCAAATAGAGGTTACTGCCAATACACTGCAGTTTTCCCATAACGTCTATACACAAACTAAGAGAAACACTCACCCTGGCAAAGACCAAACCATAATCATCATTTAGGCGTTTTGCACCAAGGTTGAGGATCCATCCACTGACAAAAAAAGTTCTATGTCTCCAAACCTTTGTACTTTGCCTTCATCTGTTGTCTGGTGTAGAACGATGTCTGAAGAGATAAATAGTTGGTGATCTCCTCTGCCTCGATTGTCAGCAAATCTTTAACTTCAGTTGAAAATTCTCATTTTCAGTAAGATCAGGGTCAAGCCCAATATATTTGTCGACTAACTGCTTGTACTTTTGCCTTGCTACTGGCTCTAAATCCTTACAATAAGAACTCTTCTCCATATCTGTTTGTTGCGTTTGTCTTCACTTCCTGCCCTCCACCTGAAATTCGCGCATCATCGTGATCAGGTGACTGAAACCCTCCTATTCTGTATTTAACAGGTAACCAGTGGTGTTGGGCTGGATGGGGGTAATATGATCACTCTTTTTGGAACCGGCGAGCATCTGGCTGCAGCATTTTGCATAAACGGATTTAACAAACCAACCCGTAAACCGTCGAGCTGCAAGTAGAAGTGATCATGGGGGGTGCTTCCAGCTCCATGGACTGACTCAAATTCACTTTCTATTGAAAAACTGTCTCTCCAAATGCTGCTGTGAGCCTCGTTATTTTGGGCTTAAATGGTCTTAATAATCCACTCTACATCCTGGCTGTTTCATTTCAGTTTTGTCCCTGAATGAAGATATGAAGTTGAATCACAGACAAATCAGACGCTGTGGTGCTTGGTAAACATTCGCATACATTCATCATTTTTGCCGATTCATGTTGTGACAGACATGACAAGGGTCTGTTTATGTTTAGTTGCATGCCAAAAATGAGCTCAGAGTTGCACTGACACTGCACACACGTGGAGCGCAGCAGCTTTAAAAAATAAAATCGCACACAAATACAAAAAGTTGGGTCACGCCTCTGCAAACTCAGGAAGAAGCAAATCGCAGCCAAAAATAACGCAAATTCTCCTGTAGTGTGTGGCGTCCTTTAGTCCACAACCTGTGGACTAAGTGGCGTCGCGTCTTCACTTTCATTTTTGGGAGGAAATTGTGTACATACTGTGACGCAAAAGTGTGTGGAATTTGATTGGGTATACATGAATCCGTGCATCATTCATTCGTTTTTCAATATGAAACCAAAAAAAGTTTATTTGTCTCCAAAACCAAAATAAAAAGCAGATAATGATTCGTTTTCAGTTTTTGATTTTGTGTTTAAATGAAGAAAGGAAAAAAATGTATAATGGCCGTTTCCCGTTTACGTGACTGTGATGCCGGACTTTTGCACCGCATACGGACTGGACCGAGACCAGAGGCTCTGGACCGAGACCAGAGGCTCTGGTCCCGCTCTGGTCCCGCTCTGGTCCCGCTCTGGTCCCGCTCTGGTCCCGCTCTGGTCCCGCTCTGGTCCCGCTCTGGTCCCGCTCTGGTCCCGCATCACAGTCACGTAAACGGGATCCGTTATCATTTTTTTCCATTCTTCGTTTAAATACAAAATCAAAAACTGAAAAAACGAATCATTGTCCTTTTTTTCATTTTGGTTTTGGAAACAAGAAAACGAAAAGAAAAAAAGTTTTCCTCATTTATTTTTGGATTTATACTGAAAAATGAATGATACACCGGTTTACATGCCATCCAACATGCTTGTTTCTGTGTACTGTATGTATGTGACGTAAACATGTACATGACCTGAGCAGATCTGACCAGAGTTTTGCGTCTTGTTCAGTGTAGACAGAAACTCTATGGTGGAGTGTATTCAACTTTTCCACTCTGGAGGGTGGTTTCAGATTTTTGCATTTTTAAGACCCCAAAACGCCGTCACTGTCTAAATGAAAGGCACTTCTGATAAAATATTTTGTCGTTTTAAACCCACAAGCGTTCTCATGTAAACAAGCCCTGAGGGGAGGAAACAGAATAAGCGCTCACCTGACCAGGCTGTCGTAGACGGAGGAGCAGCCGGGGAGGAGCCAGGGCTCGGGGGCGGGGCCGTGGGCGGTGGGCGCGGGGCCACACGAGAGTCCGTTCCAAACTGCGGACGACCAGCCTTTGGCGCAGACACAAGACCCCGGGCTCAGACAGAAACTACAGGACAGAGAGAAAAGGTCATGTGTGAGTAATGACCAAAGTTGGGACCAAGTCTTTGTTCTGCAAGTCTCAAGTAAGTCTCAAGTCTTTGACCTCAAGTCCGAGTCAAGTCCCAAGTCAAATACAGGGCAAGTCCAAGTTGAGTCTCAAGTCACTGGCCCATAAGTCCAAGTCGTCTATTTTGAGCTTCAAGTCATTTCAAGTCTTTAAACCAAAGTACCAAAAATAGCTTAGATTTGTGCAACTTATACACTATGATTCTTTTTTTTTTTTTTTTAAGTACAAATCATCTTAAGTTGTATATTTGCAAATTTCTACAACTCTTATATACTCTATAAATAAATGTAGTTCATTTTTCCTTTTTAAATGTCTTGAAAAGATCTTCATGTGAATCATCACAATCAGAATAGAAAGAATTCAGATTTAAAAGTGCTTCAAGTCTTCAAGTCACACGCCTCAAGTCACTGACCTTCAAGTCCAAGTCGAGTCCCAAGTCTTAGTCCATTTTACCAAGTCAAGTCAAGTCTCAAATTCTAAAAATAGTGACTCAAGTCTGACTCGAGTCCAAGTCACACAACAGAATCTCCTGCGCAGATCGGACGGAAACCAGAATATGTCGTTTTAAAAGGAGAATTTTATCATTTTAAACTAAAGGGTTAAACAGCTGCAAAAAGTGTTAAAAGGGCGACCAGATTTTCAAAATGAAAAACTGGGACTCCCCCAGTTTGTGTCAGTTGGTAATAATAATCAAATTGTGAAACAAGTGCGTAATTAAGGAAAATTGTTATGGACTCAACCCATTCATGGAGAACCAGTCAAATTTCCTTTGTGTTTTGGTCAGTTTTAACTGCTTGGCTTTAATAGCTTTAATTTAGAGCCCTGCAGTCCTGCGGGTTTCCCGCGGGACCCAACGTGGGACACATTTTGAAAGCTCACTGTGGGCGCGGGCAGGAGTGGGACTAAACAACGCGGGAGCAGGTGGGAGGGATGATAAACTGCAGTCCCGCAAACTAAATATGAGTATAAATAAAATATACAAACCATGAATGTAAGCATATCATGCATAATTTGTGCTGGAGATTTTATTTGGCATTAATAGAAACATTTTAAGCAGCAGACGTCCCCCTTCCCATACGCTGCGCAGACAGTCCACCCGCGGCCCCTACGTCGCGTGAACAGTCCCTCCTTCCATACGTCGTGCGGCCCGCACCACTAAGCCAGGACTAAAGCCAGGACTAAAGCCAGGACTAAAGCCAGGACTAAAGCCAGGACTAAAGCCAGGACTAAAGCCAGGACTAAAGCCAGGACTAAAGCCATGCCGTCGGACCGCCCACCGCGCCTCCTCTCATACGCAGCCCAATTCCTTTCGCTTTTCCGTGTTTGATAGAGTTTAAGAAAGCAAAGGTTCCCATCCTGCGGGGCCTGCAGGCGGGCGCAGGACAAAATATCGCAGATGTGGGTGGGAGCAGGACTGAAAATGACAATTCTTTGCATGAGCGGGACTGAAAATTGTGTCCCGCGCAGACCTCTAGTTTAATTTACTGATGGATAATATACACACAACACATTTTATGTATGACTGGACTCATTTGAGAGTTTGCGACTATTTTCTAACGAACTACAGCCAAGTATGCACAGATTTCCTAAAGACGCACGGATTTTCTTGCCAGACTGGCGCCATCTAGTGCCTCCGCTCAATTTCAATTCTCTCCAGCGACTAGATCAGGAATCAGAATACAGTAGACGGTTTACAAGAACCCCAGAAGTGCGAGTTCGGGCACCAGTCAATCAGCGAAGAGCTATACATCCTGTGTCGGCAACAATTCCCGAGATCAAGGTTTTAAAGCTGAAACAAAGAGAATGTTTGGTGAATTTTATTAAGGGGAAAGACGTTATTGTCCTTCTTACAGGATTTGGGAAAAGCTTAATATACCAGTTAGACCTGTTAGCGGGGCATTACATACGTCACGACCTAATAACAGCGATTGGTTAAATGACAAAAAGTACCCACCTACTGCCGAGCGAACGAATCCGAATGCTGCAAGGTCAGACGGTTTCCAAAGAATGAAACCGGCTGATGAATCAGGCTACGAATTTCTATCCTACGCACATGAGTATTTCTGAAAGCGTTCTTACTCCATATTTAAAACTTTTCTGCGCCACTGTTTTGTAATATAAAACACGATTACAAAGAATTATGAAGCTATTTCGTTATTATCTTTTCGTAAGCAGCGCCGATGTGACAAGGCAGTGCGTAAACCCGAAAACCACGGAGAGGCGCGGATACCTGGAGGAGAGCAGCGGGCTGTGAGCCGCTGTTGGCCCGCTCTGGGACACTCTTGCGCCGCTGTGGGACATCGTGGCGCCGTGCTTTCGCTCTGGATCGCTCTGGTTCGCTCGGAGCCTCGGACAAACGCCATTGTCTCACCTGCGCAGGTTTAAATCAGGCGCAGGTGCAGAGGGGCGGGGCCACGGCGCGTAACGGGATTACGTCAGGAAACGAGGAAACGTCATTTCAGGTCAACACATTTTCACTCTGTGGTTCTTTTTGTGATGTAAACATTGAATCGACAGAACATTTATTTTTAACCTATTTTTTATAAGACAAAAATTATTATTATTATTTTTTTAAATGCAACATCAGTCCCTCAGATTATGACTCACTTTTCTCATGTATGTAATATTTTATTTTCCTGTTATGCCATTGCCACAAATCATTTTGTTAACAATCTGTATCTGTACCTCTTTCCACTGCTTTACGTTATCTCATGTTTAGGGCGACCAGCCAGACTCAGTTTTGAGCCCTGTCCCAGCAGATTTATCCAAAACCTGTGATCTGACCCAGTTTTATATAAGAAATGTGCCAGTTGTCCCTATTTTTGACAACAGTAAAGCGAGACATAAATTGTTATTTGTTTTTTTTTTTTAATACAGAAAAGCTGCTTAAAAATGACAAAAAAATGTGACTATACTGACTCGTGCGCAACACTTTTCCTTAATTATGCACAGTGTTGGGGAGTAACAGATTACATGTACCGGAATTAAGTAATCAGAGTACAAATGATGAGTAACTGTATTCAGTTACAGTTACTGTTTCAGTGAGTGGTAATTGGATTACAGTTACTTTGTTGAAATAAATGGATTACACAGCGGTATTTTCCTGTTTTCACATTCACATTTTCTAAACCTGGTCTAAACCAGGTCTAAACCTGGTCTAAACCAGGACTAAACCAGGTCTAAAACAAGATTTAACAGGACTAAACCATGCTGTGCAGATGTGTCTCCTCCTCTTCTATCAATAATATTTTTAATTTGGTTCAGTAAAGTCTGGACTTTTCATTTTCTTTTATCAGACAAAACATCTTATGTGAAGATTTCCTCATCTTTGTTTCTCTACAGCAAATCAAGTAATCCAAAGTATTCAGATTACATTACTCACTTTAAGTAATTTAATGGATTATGTTACAAACTACATTTTGGTGTAAGTAATCTGTAATCTGTAGGGGCATACATTTTAAAAGTCACCTTCCCAACACTGATTACGCACTAGTTTCACAATTTTATTATTAAAAACGTTTTATTTTGAAAATCTGATCACCCCTAACAAAGCCTCGAAAAAGCAAACCAAGCAAACCGTTTTAATTACCATTTATTGAATTTTTTTGCAAAAATGTGTAAATAAGAAATGTCGCTTTTCTTTTTAAATTTAAAAGTATTTTTATTTGACAAACCCAATTGCATTAAGATCAATATATTTTTTATAGTTTTAACTCAGACCTTGTGATAATAATAATAATAATATGATGTGCGTTTAGGTTGTGATTGTTCGTTTTATTTAATTTATTTAAGTTTTTTATTTCTCAAAGTGTCTAACCGGAAGCTGCTGTGTTTTTGCGACAGTCGTATTCCGGAGCGCAGTAAACACGATGGCGTCCAGCAGCGGGGTAATTCCTCTTTATTTTAGACATTTTGTGACTCTAACTGTGTCATTTTGTGGATGTTTATCACGTTTTAATTGAAAAGGTTCTATATGCGTCTAATCAAGTGGATAGTTTGAGTGAAGAACAAATTAAATAGGGTGAGACTCCGAGTTAGCGCTGTTAGCTGCTACTGTTAGCCCGATGCTAAAACAAAACAAACTGGTTTAATTTCATATTTAGAAAAGAGACTAAAGCATCAACTGTCTTAAATCTTGGATCAAACACCATATTTCCTTATGGTACTGCCTCCCTAACTTTATTTTGAACAAACTGGACGGACTAAACCTTCTACTTGTCTGTGACTTTGATATAATGAAGCTTCCCGTTTCTTTATCAGATTTCATTAAGTAAATTTTATTGTTATTTATGTGTTTTATGTTCATAAATATTCTCCACACTCCACAATAATATGGAATAACTGATATATTCTACAACGTAACAAATCAATGTTTATATTTGGTCTGTAGTTGGCAACACTTGATGGAAGATGGTGGAAATTTTACTAAATTACAGTAAATTTTTTGCAAAACATGATTTTAATTCTTCATATCTGGACTTATGCGTTTATGTAATGCACTCCCTAATGGGGTGTGCAAAAGTATTGAAATATCGATATATTAATGTGATGATACAGTATCGATATCATGGGCTGCTGTATCGATATATCGCCAAGAGTATTTTTGGTTTATTTTCCCTAAATTATTTTGTTACAGCTACAGTTTTGTTGTTTGTTTAGTGGAAGGAAATTCATTTATGCGATACATTTGACATTTTCACTGTTTTGTTGATTAAAATGTTTGTGTTTCTTGTGAACTTTGCACAAGAAGTGATTTAACAAAGACTTTTAGTATCACAGACATGATTCAGCCTTTATTTTTTATTGAACCGTATCGAATCGATTTGACATGTATCGTATTGAATCAAAAGCCCTGCTTGGCGCTAATGTGAGTCAGTGAAGTCACATTTTCTTTGTGTTTTGGTCATTTTTAAGCAGCTTTATGCACCTGAACAAATGTCAGTTTCTGTCTCTCTTTATGGTTGGCAGGTCAAAAATAGAAACACCTGGGACATTTCTTGTATAAAACTGGGACAAATCAGTGGTCAGCTGGGACAGAGGAGACAGGCCCAAAACTGGGACTGTCCCAGTGTGGTATAGGATTTTGACCCGGTGGTGAGGTGCCCCCGGTGTGAACATACCATATAGTATTTTGACCCCGGGGTCAGAATCCTATTATGGTATTTTATTAATAAAGAACTTGAATCCTATAGACAAACTTTGAATATTAATACTATATCTACAAATTAAAACATATTGACATATTTAAAAGTGTTTTTTGAAGAACTCAGATGCATTTTTATGTTGATTATAATTTTTGAATGTTAAAAATGACTTAGTTGTTTAAGCATATTTGACAAAAAATTAGATAAGTTGTTATTAATTAGTTAATTAATCAAAGTGATGTATAATGATTTGGAATCTTGTTAAAATAAACAGAGCTGATCAATTGAGTAGTTAAATAGGGGAAACCTGTGACTACCCCAGTATGTTTATTATAGTTCTGATGATGTAAAGTAAGAAGTAATGTTAATTGAATATTGACAATGATCAATTATGTATAAAAAAGGTCAAAATCCTCAGACTATAATAATCTGACCCCCAATATGTTTATTATAACACGACATGACTAAATTCAAGTCGTTATTCTTACAAACCGTTGCCTAAATTGACATTATGATGAAGGATTATCTGAACAGAGCAAACTAAAAACTATAACAATGTAAAATACAATATAAAAATTGATGAGATTGTTATGTATATGCAATTTTAACAATAGGTTACATTTACACAAAATACCAAATCATTCTCCATCAAAACATTCCTTAAAATACCTTAAAAGAAAGTGAAGATGTAGAAATATATAATAAAAGTAAATGACATGAGAAATAATGATCAGATAAGTAACTACTAAAGAAAAAATAAGGGGAGTCAAAATCCTATAGGGGAATCACTTTACTACAGGCGAGTTTCAGCTGACATCATTGTTATTAAAAGCCCGTGTTGCATGCTGGGAAATATTTTGGTCGGAGGCAAGAAACACGGTAGTGGTCAAACACAGTGCGTAACCTCGAATATTTATCCCCGATAATGGTAAATTCCTGCTGCATTATCGGATGCACAAATAGAAGCACGGAAGAAGGAAAATGTCTTTTTCGTATTCCGAGTGAAAAGAACCACTAACGGAGAATTAAACGGCTTTCAAACATCCGCAGAGCAAATGTAGAAGATCCTAACAAACCGTGGACTCCAACAAGTTCAACAACACATCGAGACTCTTGGAGGTTTTCATCTTTTCTGCTGTGAATGGCCCAGGAGTTTCCACCAAGTTATTGTGGATATCGCCCAAGTGAATATTTGTCCAGGTAGTTGGTGATTCTGACCAGAAATTTGGTTTGGTTCAGGCTCTGTCGGGGTTGAAAAGGGTGATTTGTCGTCCGTCGATGCTTATGACCAATTTCTGGTCAAATGGTCTTGGGTCCTCTGCTGTTAGAGTGGAGAAATAACCAGGATCAATACCCTTTACGTGCTTTCTCGCTCCGTCCGTCATGTTGAATTAGTGTTTCTTGCCGCCGACCAAAATAATTCCCAGCATGCAACGCGCGCTTTTGTCAACAATGAAACTCATCTATCGTGGGATGTTGACCCCGGGGTCAATGTACTATGGGGGGCAAAATACTATCATACACTGGGTAAACTGAGACTGTCCCGGGTAAACAGGGACGTCTGGTCACACCAGTTACCACCCCACGTGTTTGTAGCTTTATGACATGTGATATAAACAGCCACATAAAAAGTTATACATAAGATACTTTTTGAAGTAGAAATAGAAATCAAACTACTTTAATTTGCTTTTAAATTTGTGGCCAGTCATCAGTCAAAGATCCAGTATTACGCAAAATTGTCTCATGTTAGAAGTGTTTGAGTAACTCTTTATTATTAGACACGATTACAAGCTCAAAATGCTCCGTTCTACCGAGTCTTCTACTCATTTACGTTTTCCATGTTGATGGTTTAGAACTCAGCGCTACTTCCTGTGGTTTTGTACTTTTCTTTGCGGTGTTTCTTCACAAACTACCACTTTACTGATGCAAAACTATGATTCATATTTAGGTACGATCACACCAAGTCAAGAAACCAGTGTTCTGTTGTGTTCTGTTGTGTTCTGTTGTGTTCTGTTTTGTTCCGTGTGCTCTTTTAAATGCATTCCTTCTGTTTCAGTCCAAAGGAAACGAGTTCAGGAGAAAATGGGACAAAGACGAGTACGAGAACCTGGCCCAGAAGCGGCTGAACGAAGAGCGGGAGCGAGAGAGGAACCGAGATGGTGAGGCCAACAGTTTACCTTAGATTAACCGGAGTTTAAGAGGATATTAGAGATTCGGGTTTTGATAATGAAACTAGTATCAAAACTAGAAGCGAGAATCGATACTAAAAAAGTCACATTCACAGGACAGAAACCTTGAACCTTTCCTGAATGTCTTTAGAATGATCTTGAGCTGTGTCAGAACAAGTTTAAGAACAACACAGACAAGTATTCACCCATGGATATAAGGCCACATGGTAATATAAAGTGCTACCATTTAATGTTGAAAATGAATTGAATTATTAGGATAATTGGTGTGATCAATATTTAATTAGAGATTTAAAGTGAGTAACATTTACTTACTAACTCAATGATTAGGATTAAACCACAAAGACACAAATATCAGCCACTAGTGATGTGTAGATGCAACACATTTCCAGCACTGTGTTGGTGCATTCTATAGCTCCATCTGGTGGTTTTGAAAAATGAACTGCTTCCTGTGCAGAAGCATTGACACAGCGCAGGACTCGTTCATTCAGACACTTTCACACTCAGTTGTGATAGATTCTCTGATATCCAACAAATGAAAGAAGTGACCAAGAAGGTGATGCAGTCTCATTAAAGCAAATCACAGCTGATTGTACAATAAAGTCGGCATAAACATGATACATGATGAGGTGGATGGTTGTGAAAGTGATAGTAAAATAATAAAGTTATTTCAGTAAATCTGTAGTGAGCTCCACCTGGGACTGATTAAAATGAGCCCAAACAGAACAGGCCTGTGTTCTGTTTCTCTGTGGTTCTGTGATGAACAGAGACACAGCGACAGATTTAAGCCTCGTGCTCCTCGCACTGAGCCACCGACACAAGACGCACCAAATGACACAGTTGACGTATTGGTCATGTGACTTTACCTAAAGTGATACGCAGAGATACAGCTCGACACAAATGCTGATGTGCTGACTCGTTTGACCCTTCAGTATCCGTCTCTCCTCTGTCAGCCTGCCTGAGCGGCTGTGACACCAAATTCCACCAAAGTCCATATGACATGTTAGATTATTCATTTGACCAAAACACCATTAAAGTAATTATATTTAAGGTTTATTCACTTTTTTTTTAAACTCTGTTTTTCCCAGTTTGGACCGTTTTAGGTTTTAAATTTGACTTCCTGTTTGGAAATCAGGACATCACACTCTTCACATAAATCCATAACTCTTACCTACCAGCTGTGCCATACACTGTACCAAAACTCCAGGGCCTGAATATTGTACCTTGTACTTTAATATTGTTGGAATAAGGCTTAAAGTATCTAAAGTGTTTGTTTTGTAAACTGTGTTGACTGTGAACTGTGGAGGACAGAAGTCACCCTAGTGCGATGTCTCCAATATGTTTTAGAACTCTCTACTTCTTGTCATTTTCAACATATTTTTCAACTTTTTCCACACTAAGAAGAAACAAACTGATTAACTGTTCATGTGTGTGTTTCAGCCAAAGCTCTGGCTCCTCCGGTCAAACGAGACCTCCTCAAACACAGAGACTACAAAGTGGATCTGGAGTCCAAACTCGGCAAAACCATCGTCATCACCAAAACCACGCCACAGGCCGAGATGGGCGGGTAACGCTCGACACCACACACACCACGGCTTTAGTTCGTACATGAGGCAAAATGATAAAATATGTTTATTTTGTAAATCCAAATGAGCTTAAATGGGCCAAAAGCATCATTAACAGGCCTGAGCTGCAACAAATAAATAACAGAATGAACCAATAATTAGCCACAGAAGTTATTGAGAGAGAGGTGATTAATTAATTTACAGTTATACGTGATTTTTGTGAATTAATGTAATCTTTAATTGTTTTGAGGTTCACCGACAAAATTGTTTTTATGTTGTTATTGTTTTAAATTCTGAACATCGTTGTTTTTAAGAGGTGTATTCGGTTTGTGTACGTGTGCCTTGAACTAGACGAGTGTGTTTTTACTGCAACTAGGTCCAGGATGAGGGATTTAAATTTTTTTGAGGCTTCATAACAAATATCCCCTGTGGAAAAGACAACCTAAATTGTTTCTGTGCCTAAAGATCTGCAACATTATTTATTCACGCCTCTACAGCTCAAATCTTACGAAAAAAATGGCAAAATGAGCAACATCGTTTTAGTGTAGGTGTATAGAGTTTAAAACCACAGTGGAGCACTTCCTGTATGATGACATCACGAGGTGGAATAGGTGGAACTCAGCCTAAATATGGAGGTCCGATGAGGTTCATTTGGTCTTCCGATAATTTATGTTATTAGGTTCTTTTTTCAGACCAAGAGTTTGTTTTCATGCCTGACAGTTTTGACTGCTCACTAGCGTCTTCCTCAGACTCACATGATGTTGCTGTGACGTATCGTTCAGTTGATTTAAACAGGTTTCGGCGCTGTCTTCCTACCAGTGGAGGCAGGACGACAGCGCCACCTGCAGTCCCACTTCCTCAGGACAGTATCCCAGGTGTGTGAGAGTAAAAAAGCCCCTCGTCCCAGTTTATCGTCCCGTGGGCACGTTTCCGTATTTCGATTGCCTCTTTAATCCAGTGACGATGTTTGTTTTCCTCTGTCCAAGTGACGTTTGCTCCATCCCAGTCCATAATGTTGTTCTCTCTTTAACAGAGGTCAGAAATGGCTGGTTCGGGAACAACTCAAATCGGCCATTTCTGACCTCTGTTAAAGAGAGAACCACATTATGGACTGGGATGGAGCAAACATCACTGGGACAGAGGAAAACAAACATCGTTGCTGGATTAAAGAGGCAATCGAAATATGGAAACGTGCCCACGGGACGATAAACGAGGGGGCTTTTTTACTTTCAGACACCTGGGATACTGTCCTGAGGAAGTCGGACTGCAGGTGGCGCTGTCGTCCTGCCTCCACTGGTAGGAAGACAGCGCCGAAACCTGTTTAAATCAACTGAACGATACGTCACAGCAACATCATGTGAGTCTGAGGAAGACGCTAGTGAGCAGTCAAAACTGTCAGGCATGAAAACAAACTCTTGGTCTGAAAAAAGAACCTGATAACACGAAATATGGAGGGTTTGTGTGAGAAACGTGTGTGAATGAAACGATGCTGCAATGTTTTCTGATCATGGAAATCCTGGAAAAATCATGGAAATTGAAAAGTCGTGGAATTTTTGTAACTCTTTCACGCGACTCCAGCGTTCTGCTCAGTTCTCATTAGACTTTTCTGATTATTTCTGAACATCTGCGCTTTTTGTTTAAAAGAGACGACAATAAATGCACTGACAGGATTTTGAATGTTAAAAAAATATATATAATCTCAAACCATAAGGTGAGTGGAAAGAGTTCACATTTCATACACACATGTAGGTGCTGTAAAGTCATGGAAAATTCACTTTAGGTCATGAAAAAGTGACTGAAAAGTTTTGAAATGTTGTCAACACAAAACAGTACTATGGACCAACAGAATACATTTATGTCATTGTTTATTCTCACCTGTGTCTCGTCTGATTCGGCTGCTCTCTCTTTTTGCAGATATTACTGTAATGTTTGCGACTGTGTGGTGAAGGACTCCATAAACTTTCTGGATCACATCAATGGAAAGAAACGTGAGTGCAGCGCCCTCTGCTGTTCAAGCTCAGCAAATATACCTGGTTGATCCCATTACTGTGTGTTCAATCAATCAATGAAACTTTATTTGTATAGCACTTTTCATACATTTGAAATGTAGCACAAAGTGCTACATTTCAATGTGTGTTGGGCCTGAAAAGACTAAAAAGAGACGTGTTAGTGTTTGAGTGTGTGTTTTACTTCTTTGGGGTATTAACTGTTAACACATAACATATTTAAATCCGTGTCATTCTTTCATTTGTTTTTCAATATGAAACCAAAAATAAGAAAAAGAAAAAACAACTATTTTATTCAGTTTTTGTCTCCAAAACCAAAGTGAAAAAACAGATAATGATTCGTTTTTTCAGTTTTCGATTTTGTGTTTAAATGAAAAATGAAGAAAAAAATGGATAATGGCCATTTCACATTTATGTGACTTCCGTGACTGTGATGTCAGACTTTTGCGCCACATATGGACTGAACCAGGACTGATCCTGGTCTCCAGGACCACACCGGGACCAGAGCGGACTCCGAACTTTGAATCCGAGCCTCCGTGGAGCCCGAGCCTCAGCTTCAAGCTCCGGCCCTGCTGTGGGCTCTGAGCCTCCGGTCTGGCCTCGGTCTGGCCTCGGTCTGGTCTCCGGTCTGGCCTCGGTCTGGCCTCGGTCTGGTCTCAGTTTCAGTCCCGCTCTGGTCCCGTTGTGGTCCCGGACCTGGATCAGTCCTCGTTCCAAATTGCAAAAGTCCGACATCGCAGTCAGGGGAGTCATGTAAACGGGAAACGGTCGTTATCCGTTTTTTCCATTTTTCATTTAAACACAAAATCAGAACAATTAATTCAGAATTAAAAAGCATCGTGTAAACGTGGCCAGTGTTCCCTTTTATTATTTTGAAAATGCTTTATTCTCCAAAAACAACACTTTAGTTTTGCTTTCATTTCTGATGCTCTGTTTCCCTCACAACACTATCAGCGTTTATTAGAGCTGGGACAAGATACATTTTCCACGAAACGAGACACGACATTGGATTCACGAACATGAGACAAGACGAGATTTTGACATTATTTATAATACATCATTTGTATGATCCAGTTCCCAATTTTGGCCTCACCAATTTTCATTTACTTTGTTTAATATTTTTGCTGTCATTGTAGCTCTGCTTTTTAGGATTTCAGTTTCTCAAAAACTCTGACTCAACAGTACTTAACTAAATTTTTTTGTTTCAAATCCAATTGTAAAAACATGGCAAGGAATTCTCACAATTTTTTCTGTCTGTTTGGTCTTACAAGATCTTGTGGCATGAGATCTTGTCCCGTCCGTAGCAGTAATACCCCATAGAAGTAAAAAAAAAAAAACAACAACAAAAAAAACCTCACACATCAAAATCCAGCTTTCAAAAATGATGAAATGTGAAAATGTGTTCTTTGTTTGGTTTGTGCAGACCAGAGGAACCTGGGCATGTCGATGCGCGTGGAGCGATCGTCTCTGGATCAGGTGAAGAAACGATTCGAGGCCAATAAAAAGAAAATGGAGGAAAAGCAGAAAGAGTACGACTTTGAGGAGCGAATGAAGGAGCTGCGAGAAGAGGTGGGGTTTAAAGTGCATATCTTACACTAACTGACTCATGTGAGCTTTAAGCCACGTTATAATGTAGAGATGCACCGAATATTCAGTGACCGAATATAATTGACTGAATATAAAAAAAAAAAAAATCCTCATTTGGCTTTCGGTGGAGTGACGCAGTGACGCAATCAAACAACGTGTAGAGACGCAGTGATCTGGCACCTTCTTTAGGCAAGGCAAGTTTATTTGTAAAGCACAATTTGTACACAAAGTAATTCAAAGTGCTTTACAGAATAAGAAATACATTAAAATCACAATACAAACAAATCAAAACATAAATAATCATAAAGATTAAATAAAAAAAAAGAGAGACATAAATTAGAGAGAAGAGTGTGGAATGAAAACCTTTCAGTTATATGCACAATTAAACAGAAATGTTTTGAGCCTGGATTTAAACAATCAAAGGCTGCGTTCAGACTGCAGCCTGAAGTGACCCAAATCCGATTTTTTGGCCCCTATGTTCCTGTATCTGATCTTTTAATGTCAGTCTGAACGACACAGATCTGATTTTTTCAAATGTGACCCAGGACTAGAGCCCGACCAATATGGATTTTGCTGTGGCCGATATGAAACCAATATAATGGAAGTTGGAGCTGCCGATAGCCGATATAATCACCGATATATTTAGTGATGTAAAAATTCACTGTAAATGTTGAATTGTTTAAAAAACTTAGGTTTGGCTCTGGTGGATTTTAAATTGGGTTTATTTAGGCAACATTTATTGTTATTCTGCCTCTTTACATCATATTTACAGACAGTAGGTTGACTTGGGCATGTTTGCATCACATTCTAGACACTAGTGATGGGTATTCCAGTTCTTTTTAGAGAACCGGCTCTTTTGGCTCGGCTCACTAAAAGCTGCTGGTTCTTTTGGCTCCCAAGTGGCTCTTCAGATTGTTTTGTTGCAAGCAGGACTGAATCAGGACTGAACCAGGTCTAAACCAGGACTGAAAAAGGACTAAACCGGGACTTATTTATTTTATGCTAAACTACAGTCAAATATGCTTGTTTTTTTTTATTTTTAATTTTTTTTAATCCTACGTACACGCAAATTTCTCAAAGTTTCGTTTTTAGCCGCTGCCGCTGTCAAACCACGAATCTGCACGCGGCGTGAAGAGAAAAAAAGTGAGAAAAAGGGAAAACACGGCTCCCAATAAGGATCAGGCTCCCGTTGTTCCCTTTAAAGAGCGGGTTCTAAGAGTCATTTCGTTCGCGACGGACCCATAACTAGTAAAGAAAGTTGCGCTATTAGCCTTTAGCCGTAAATACGTGCGCGCCGCGGTAATTAATTATATGCGCAAATGTCATAATTCACACGTCTATTCACAGCTCATTTACATATCAGTGCAGGTCCAGTAACAAATATACGGCCAATATAGTCACTTTAGAACAGACCAATAGAAAACAGTCTGTTTATGTGCGGGAGCTACAGCAGCTAACCCATAACAAATGACTAAAACTAGCTTCAGAGTCGACATATTTCCAACACTCAGCGTCACACAGGCTCCTCCTCACATCACAAATCTGCACTAATAAATGTCCTTTTAATTCAGACTCAAACCGATTGTCCGTAAAAAGAAAATAATCTCAATGTTTGGATCCGTGTCTGCAGGTGTAAACAAACACACGTGAGTGACGCGACTCTGTGGTGTGTTCAGGGACAGTACGGACACACACACAGACAAATGACTCCGTAGATAAATACTGATGTGGAGCCACATATTAGGACATTTATCTGTCTGTAAATTGGATTAAATGAACAGAATGTAGAGAGTCTAAGCTTTATAACGAGGTATAACATGCCCACGTGAAATATCGGCCCCTATCAGCAAGCATAACGGCCGATAGCCAATATGCCTAAAGTTGCCCATATCAGCCGATAATATCGGCCAACCGATATATCGGTCGGGCTCTACCCAGGACACTTGGATATGTGCTCCTGAAACCGATTCATATCTGATCTTTTGACATGCGACTTCAGTCTGAACGGCCAAATCGCATCCATCTGACCTACACGTTGTCAACAAGACACAAACGTCACTATTCTGAGCTGAAGTAGGCGAAAATTGTTAATGAACTCTGTGTCACTGAAGTGAAGCACATCACCACTCACCACTCTTGGCTCCGTCTCCACATCCACACGTTCCTTTCAACAGACTGAACCACAAAACACCACGACCAAAAACCTCGTCCTTCTCCTTCTCAATCTCCTCCTTAAAACAAGTAAGTTGTTCATGTTCTGGCTCCAGTACGAGAGGAACTTTAAAATCTCCAGGTGCTCGATGCTCACGTCCATGTTTGGACAACTTCCGTAAACACAGAGCACGCTCACTGCGGTTGACGTTGTCGTGTCTCCAGTGCACATGCGGGACACTTTCGGGCTGTTTAATGTTCACACTGAAGATCACATACAAGTCACATTTAATTGGAAATATGAACGACCTCGAAAAAACATCGGATTTCACAAAAAAAATCAAATTGAGCATTAAGCCCTGCAGTCTGAACATAGCCAAAGTCGAGTCTGTTTCACATGTTCAGACTGTTCCAGGTTTTAGCTGCATGAACCTGAAACGCTGACTCCCCGTGTTTAGTCCTGACTCTGGGCACCAACAGGAGGCCGGACCCTGAGCTCCTCAGAGTGAAGTAAAATGTCGGCAGTGTGGAAATATTTTAAGGTGCACTCACTCTAGGACTTGCCGTACGATGTGCAACTGTGGGTTCTATGTTCCGCACTCACACGTGCACATCAGAACCGAGCCACGGCCGATTACGTCATCACCAGTGTTGCCATAGTTACTTTGAAATAGTAATCTGACTACTGACTACTGATTACTTCTTTAAAAAGTAACTTACTGTATTTTCCGTCATTAAATGGTCTATTTTCGAACTTTTTTCACAAATAAACCACGTGGGACTTTAAATGAAACCCAACAGTGTGATGGGTGAGTGGTTTTGTTTGTTTGTTCGTTCACGGTGACTCTGGGCTTTGTTCAGTTGTGGCGTGTAGGGAGGGTGCTGTCTGGGACCAACGGATTGTCGGCGTGTTCACAGTGACTCAGTTGTTCAGTTGTGTCTAGAAGTGGCACATTGCACTCACTTTTTCGGTTCGTTCCTCTGTTCCGTTCCTCGTCGGTGTGGAGTGATGAGTGTGTCTGTGGGTGTGTTTCGCTGTGCGGTCTCTGTCTGCTCCGTGTGTGTTTGTGTGCGCTGCGGGTGGTGTGGCTTTGTAGTTTACTGAAGTCGTGCTGGGACACCTGAGTGGATTCGTGTATTGTGGCGCGCGGTCATTTTTTGATGGAGTTAGAGGCTTAAGAGCACGTCTAATAGCCCGGAAAATACAGTAAATGCTTAAATACGTACATAGAATGGTAAATGAATATAAATCAGCAATTCATGATGACAGAATTATGGCCAAAAAATGTTATAAATCTAAAGAGAGAATTGCTCTGAGTTGTTACTGGTAAAGTAGGTAAGTAGGTTAGTAGGAGTAGTTGAACTCGTAATTATGACGTTGAACTTGTAATTATGACTTTAAAACTCTTAATTATGACTTTTGAACTCATGAAAACTCATAATTTTGATTAAACTTGTATGACAGTTGAACTCATAATTATGACTTTTCAACTCGTAATTATGACTTTAAAACTTGTAATTATGACGTTGAACTCGTAATTATGACTTAAACTTGTAATTATGACCTAAACTTGTAATTATGACTTTTGAAAGCATAATTATGACTTTTAAACTCATAATTATGACTTTTAAACTCATAATTATGACTTTTAAACTCATAATTATGACTTTTAAACTCATAATTATGACTTTCTGTGAGGCTTTTATTTTTTATTTACTGGCAGAAATGGACTTCCATACTAATATCACAATAAAAAGATAAACTAATCATTTAAAAAATATAAAAAAGCAGAAGGCCTGGTGACATTTCCGTGTTCTTCCCGTGTTCCAGGAGGAAAAGGCGAAAGCGTACAAGAAGGAGAAACTGAAGGAACGAAAGCGCCGCGCGGAGGAGGAGCTCGACTTGGAGGAGGATGACGAGATGGCCGCCGTCATGGGCTTCTCCGGGTTCGGCTCCTCCAAGAAGAGCCACTGATGCCCCGGGTGCCCTCCCACAGCAAAGAGCCAGATGCCCACAGCCTGGACGGAAGGGCCACAACTGCAACATGGACTAAAGAGCCAGATGCCCTCCCAGCCCCTCTGTGTGTCAGATGTCTCCCCTCTGCTCATTTCCCTCCTTTGGTTTCTGGTTTCTTGACATCTGGAGTCTGGTCTTGGATTCTAGACTTGGATTTTGGTCCCAAACTTGGACTGTGTCTCAGATGCCCTCCCATCCTCCTCACAGATGGACATGTCTTTTTTGTTCAGCCACTGTGAAAGAAATTATGGGGAATTTTTTTTTGTTTTGTAAATGAAAAGAGGTTAAATCTGTTATCCCTGCAGTTTAGACCTCTACAAACATGTTCTTAGATTAGTTAAACGTTCAGATTTCTGTCTTTAAAGGTGCACTGCGAAACCTTTTTCTGTTTAGACTGTTTGTGATAAATTTTGCAGCATCATGTGACATTTCTTCACAGGAAGTCAAAACTTAAAAATATCTTGGCTCTGAAAAGCACCGAATCATTCACAAACTTCCCCAGTGCTCAAACCACATCGCATTTTACTCTCTCCAAGAGCAGACGGGAGGGCATCTGACACACACGGGGAGGGCATCTGACACACACGGGGAGGGCATCTGACACACACGGGGAGGGCATCTGACACACACGGGAACATTTCAGAACATTTTGTAGACGTTTAAACTACAGGGTCAGCAGCTTTTACACAAAATAAAACCACAATGTTGACACTTAATATATTAGATGGTCTCCGGTCTCTGGTCGGGTCTCTGGTCGGGTCTCTGGTCCGGGTCTCTGGTCCGGGTCTCTGGTCCGGGTCTCTGGTCCTGGTCTTGCTCTACATGTTAGTCCATGAGTTATTTTAAAGACTGTGTTTATATTATTTTAGTTTGAGTTTTATTATTGTAATAAACAGATCGGGTTTGTAAAGAGTTTGTCTCATTTTCTTTGAATCTGTACTTTATATTTTCTTACAAAATACTTAATACCTGGAATGTATTTTGTGACGTATACTATTACACAAGTCGGAGTTCTGCATTCTGAATACTCTGAATACTTTTTAATTATAGCGTAAGAACATGACATCAGGGTCTGGTCAAGTGGTATCGGAGGGGGATTTTTGACATTCAAATGTCTCTTATTCAGAAACTAGAGGAACTATTGAAATAAGTCAAGTATCAGAATGTAGGAAAGAGTTACACTCCAACAGGGTCAAGTTAAACCTGTGAGATTCTTTCAAGTTGTTGACAAAAAATTAAAAACTCATGTCGGTAACAGAGGGAATGAAATATGCAGCACTTTTTTGGTCAATAAATCCAAAACAGTGATAACTCTTGGTTCTCACTTCCATATCCTTAACAAACTGGTTTGAATATTTGCTTCATATAGTTTTCTACCATATGGTACAAGATTAGGTTGAAAAACCTCTTACTTTTTGACTCATGAGATTTTTTATTAAGAAAGGTCATGGTAACGGAGGGAAAAGTAACGGAGGGAAAATTTTTCAAACAAGTAGAAGGTGCAGGATTTTACATCATTTGTCGCTTTTTTCTTCCGAATACTTTAATATTACTTCAAAATGAAAGAAACTATTTCTATAAAAAATATGTCAGTCCTTCCAAGGAAATTTTTATCATTTTAAATACATTTTTGGTAACACTTTATAATAACTACACCTTATTTAGCCTTAATAAAGCATGAACAAAGACTTAATTAATAATGATTCACACTTAGTAACTGCTTAATTACTACCTGAATTAGCACTTCACTTGCACTTAATTCACCTGTGCTGTAAATAGTTACTCATAAGTATTTCTTACTTAATTACTCATTAATTAACCATTGTGTGTGCATTTGTAAATGTATATTTAAGTACAAATTTGAGCATTTATTAATGATTATTAAGCCATGAGAGAATGATTTACTAATAATGAATTATTGTTTCTCTGGAATTTGACCAAACTTAACAAATGCTTAATAAAACATAATTAATCTTCACTTTAGAAAAGCTCTCAGAAAGACTTAACGAACAGATAACAGCCGCCTGAATGATCATTGCATTGCATTATTAGTAAATCATTCTCTCATAGTTTACTAATCATTAATAAATGCTCAAATGTGAACTTAAATATGCATTTGTAAACATGCAAATGGTTAGTTCATGAGTAATTAAGAAGTATTGAGTAACTATTTACAGCACAGGTGAATTAAGTGCAAGTTAAGTGCTAATTCATGTAGTAATTAAGTAGTTACTAAGCATGAATCATTATTAATTAAGTCTTTGTTCATGCTTTATTAAGGCTAAATAAGGTGTAGTTATTATAAAGTGTTACCACATTTTTTTTTGAAAAATCATGTCCCTTCATCAACAGTTCAAAGATGGAATAACACAAGATATGATGAAATACATCCATTTATTGACATGATTTGCAGGTTTTTGAAATTTGGGAAATAATTTTTGTTCCATGTTTCATACATGGTCTGTTTAAAACATATGGAACTTTAGAACCAAAAATGGTACAGAAAAAAGGTCAACAGTTTCATAAACTAGAGTACATATGTATCTGTTCAATACATTTTTATATCAGATGCATTCACTGGAATTTTTGGCCTTGTTGTTTACTTCTTCTTGACTGGGTCCATATAATTACAAACAACGTAATGTTTGTGGCTGAGTTTTTAAAGAGTTCATTCATGTTTCAGTTTGAGAAAAACCTCACCATATTTATTCGTTTTAATTTAGAAAAATTTGTGTATTCTGATTCTTAGCTGAACAGGAACACAGGTACTCACAATTAGTTTTATAAGAATAAGTATTTATAGTACATGCAGTTACTTCCCAGCACTGGTCGCACTCGTGTGACTGCAAAACAAAAAGTTCCTGTTTGCAGAGTTCCTTTTTGAAGTGGTAGCAGCCGTAGCAGCAGTAGCAGTAACAGTAGTACTAGTAGTATAGTAGTAGTAGTAGTGTGTGTTTTATTATTGGTGGAGTTCTTGGTTGCAGTACGGCCTTGGCAGCAGTTGTAGTACTCTGCAGTAGCAGCAGTAGTAGGCGTACTTGCAGATGCAGTACTTGAGTGTTGCTGGTGCAGAGTTCCTGTTTGCGGTCGCTCTCTCCATCTGCCGCTCACTTCCCTTAAAGCCTCAAACTACTTCAGCTCAACGCCATTTTGTCTGCGCCACAGAGGTGAGTTCAGGCTCGCTCTAGACCCACTCTAGACCCGCTCTAGACCCGCTCTAGACCCGCTCTAGACCCGCTCTAGACCCGCTTTAGACCCGCTTTAGACCTGGGTTAGATCTGGGTTAGATCTGGTTTAGATCTGGTTTTGACATGGTTTGGACCTGGTTTAGTCCTGGTTTAAAGTCATTTTAGATCCACTTATAACCTGGTTTAGACTTGGTTTAGATCTGGTTTAGTCCCGCTTTAAACCTGCAGTAGATATGGTTTAGTTCAAGTTTAGACCTGGTTTAGATCTGATTTAGTCCTGGTTTAAACCTGGATTATACATGGTTTAGTCCTGGTTTAGTCCTGGTTTTAGACCTGGTTTAGTCCTGGTTTAGACTTGGTTTAGTCCTGGTTTAGTCCTAGTTTAAACCTGGATTAGATATGGTTTAGTTCAAGTTTAGACCTGGTTTAGATCTGATTTAGTCCTGGTTTAAACCTGGATTATACATGGTTTAGTCCTGGTTTTAGATCTGGATTATACATGGTTTAGATCTGTTTTAGTTCTCGTTTAAACCTGGATTAGATACTTTTTAGTCCTGGTTTAGATCTGGTTTAAATTTGGTTTGGTTCTGGTTTAGTCCTGGTTTAGATTTGGTTTAGATCTGGTTTAGATCTCGTTTAAACCTGGATTAGACATGGTTTATTCCTGGTTTAGACCTGTTTTAGATGTGTTTTAGTCCTGGTTTTAGTCCTGGTTTAGTCCCTGGACTTGTCTCTGTTTCAGGACTCAGGATGAGTCAGAACAGACTTCCCTCCAGCTCTGAGGTCGTCGGCTGGAGCCCCGAGAAACTCGCCGAATTCCTCCGAAAGGTGAGTCTGGTCGGATCCAGGATCAGTCCTGGTTTTGAGACTTTATAGACTGAACGGGCCTTTAGTGAGTCCTGGATCTACTTTTTTCTGCTTCGGTCTTGGATTAAATTTGGTTCAGATCTGGTCTTAGTTTTGCTCAGAGGTTTGGATTATTTTTATCGCAGATTCTCACTGACGGCATCAAATGGGATTAAACTAAAATGTGTCAAAAAACTTTGATATTTTCAATCCTTTAAATGTTCGCTGGTTTATTTATACTCTTGTTTTTGCACTAATGAACCTGGAGACAGAAACCAAACCTCCCAAAACCTCGTCAGACCTCAGACTCTGCTCAGGACTTGTTCAGGGTCTGGTCAGAACTTGGTCAGTTTCTGGTCAGGGTCTCATCAGGACTTGGTCAGGGTCCGGGCAGGGTCTGGTCAGGGTCTGGTCAGGACTTGGTCAGGGTCTGGTCAGGACTTGGTCAGGGTCTGGTGAGGACTTGGTCAGGGTCTGGTCAGGGTCTGGTCAGGGTCTGGTCAGGACTTGGACCGGAGACCAAATCCCGGGGCCAGAGGGTAAAACTTGTCCTGGCTGTGACCTTAACCACGTTGGTCTCGTCTGTGGTGATCCTGCACTGAGTCCAGACCCCGTCCTGGCTCCGGGGCCGTGAGTCGTAGCGTCAGGACCCGTGGCACAGACCGACCGCCTCACGTCTGTCAGTCTGTCCAGGGCAGCTGCAGCTACATTCATATTTACGTGAACAAATAAATCAGGAAAGTTAAAAGTGACACACTTGGATCTTTCCTCAGACCTGGAGACTCTCCCCCTCGGATTTTGTAGGGATTATTATTTGTAGGGGATTTTTACAATATGTTGTTTTTTTTTTTAATGTTTAAATCATCAGAGCTTGTGAAAGATCACACTCTGCACGTTTCTGATGACAGTAGCGTAAAAGAAATCAATATTTTTTAGCAGTTTCGCCCAAGTGAGTGTCATTGTCCGACCTTTTACATTTAACCCGTTTTCTTTTTAAATGTGCTGATCCTGCATTTAGAAAAGATTTTATTTTTGTACAGAAATTTTGTCTTTTATAAGAAAACACAACGACGTGTCCCATCTTAAATATTCATGCCAAAGTTTGACTCTGTTCTGTTTATTAGAAACAGAAACAAAAATGATATTTGAGCAGAAGTAAAACTCTGCTGTTTTCTAACAATTATTAACTGTTTAAATAAAGACATTTTTAGTCCTGGTTTAGTTCTGGTTTAGTCCTAATTCAGTCCTGGTTTAGACTTAGTTTAGACCTGGTTTAGTCCTGCTTTGGACTTAGATTAGACCTGGTTTAGACCTGATTTAGTCTTAGATTAGACCTGGTTTAGTCCTGGTTTAGTCCTGGTTTAGACCTGGTTCCTGGTTTAGTCCTGGTTTAGTCCTGGTTTAGACCTGGTTTAGTCCTGGTTTAGGTCCAGTTTAAATAAAGAATTTTCACACTCTTTGATCGAGTATTTATCAGTAAAAATCATTAGTAAATTTGAAAAAACTTGACAAACTGTTGAAGTTTCCAAACTGGGCAGAAAAACAACTGAAAACTGAACCAACAGAAAACAACAGGACGCCTCTTCAGTTCATCTTCAGGTCGGGTTAAACCAGACTCTGTCCTCGTCCTGCTCGTCCTGCTCGTCCTGTTCTTGTTTCTGTCACCGGAGTAAAAACAGAATCATCACAGATCCAGTGTTTCTGCGTTTCTGCGTTTGTGTGTTTCTGCGTTTGTGTTATCACAGGAAGTGCTCTGCTCCGTTTCCTGTTCCTCATGTCTTTTGTTTTGTTTGTTTTGTTTTGTTTTGTTTTGTTTTATTTTATTTTGTTTTGTTTCAGAGGAATCTTCAGGGCTGTGACAGAGTCGTGCTTCTAAACCGCATCACGGGAGAAAGATTCGTGGTCAGAACCTGAACCTTTTTCTGATTATTTTGTCTCTCTGTCCTTCTAAGACAAAACAACAACAACAACTATTTTCTTCATTATTTGTCTCCAAAACCAAAATGAATAAAACAGAAAATGATTTGGTTTTTCAGTTTTTGATTTTGTGTTTAAATGAAAAATGGAAAAAACGGATAACGGACCAAACCAGGACTAAACCAGGACTAAACCAGGACTAAATCGAGGTCTAAACCAGGACTAAACCTGGACTAAACTAGGACTAAACCAGGTCTAAACTAGGACTAAACCAGGACTAAACCAGGACTAAACCAGGTCTAAACCAGGACTAAACCAGGTCTAAACCAGGACTAAACCTGGACTAAACCTGGACTGAACCAGGACTAAACCAGGACTAAAACCAGGACCGAAACCTGGACCGAACCAGGACAAACCCATCAGTCCCAGTCTGGTCTTGATCCCGGCCTTAATCATGGTCTGGTCCTGGTCCTGGTCCTGGTCTGGTTTCGGTCTGGTCGTGGTCTCGGTCCTGGTCTGGTCCCGGTCTCATTCTGGTCTCAGTCCTGGTCTCAGTCACAGTCTGGTCCTGGTCTCTTCCATGCCTGAATCCCACTCTGGTCCCGATCTGGTTCCGATCTCAATCACGGTCTGGTCCTGGTCTCAGTCCCGGTCTGGTCCCAGTCTGGTCATGGTCTGGGTCCCGGTCTTAATCATGGTCTGGTCCTGGTATAGTCCCGGTCTCAGTCCTGCTCTGGTCCCGGTCTGGTCCCGGTCTTAATCCCGGTCGGGTTCCTGTTTTATCCCGGACCTGTTTTAGTCCTGTTTTAGTCCTGTTTTAGTCCTGGTTCAGTCCTGGTTCAGTCCTGGTTCAGTCCTGGTTCAGTCCTGGTTCAGTCCGGCGTCTCAGTTTAAGTCACGTAAATGATCAGTTTTTTCCATTTTTCATTTAAACACAAAATCGAAAACTAAAAAAAACAAATCTTTATCTATTTTTTTTTTCATTTTGGTTTTGAAGACAAATAATGAAGAAAATAGTTGTTTTTTATTGTTTTCTTATTTTTGGTTTTATTTTGAAAAACACATGAAAGAATGACACAGAGATTTGGGCCGTGAGGTGGAGTGGTGGTCAGATGGAGTTTCAGGGTCGTGTGAGGAGAGTCACATCCCTCAGGACAACAGAGTCTCCTCTCTGGACTCTGCTCACAAACAGGAAAAGTCTCGTCTGAGTCTCTGTTGTTTCGGTCGGTGAAGAGGCGGACGTTTTCTCAAAGTGCTTCCTCTTTTGTCGTATGTGCTCAAGAAAGTTTCCAGCTCCACGCACGGTCACCATGGATACAGGAAACACAAACCACTCATGCTGGGGGTGTTCTACACCTACCTCTATGGTGGCATGTTCAGACACAGTGCTTTCCACTCCAAAACTTTTTTTTTTGACTGGAAACATTCCTGTTTACACTTCTGTGTTTGATTTTTAACAGAAATGTGAGAAAAACTGAGATTAAAATCTACAGAGACAGAGCAGTGCCTCCAGTTAGAATCACACACACCAGAGAAGGTTAATGACCTCCTGGTTCAGACCTGGTTTAGTTCTGGTTTTGACCTGGTTTAGTCCTAGTTTAGTCCTGGTTTAGACCTGGTTTATACTTAATTTAGTCCTGATTTGGACTGGGTCTAGACCTTTTTTATTTCTGGTTTAGACCTGGATTAGTTCTGGTTTAGTTCTGGTTTAGTTCTGGTTTAGACCTGGTTTAGACCTGGTTTAGTCCTGGTTTAGTCCTGGTTTAGACCTGGTTTAGACCTGGTTTAGTCCTGGTTTAGACCTGGTTTCATCAGTATCAGTTCAGTATAAAGTATCAACAGTCCTGAACTTCAGTCAAAATCCTCAAATATAAAAAATATATAAAAATGTAAAAGGTAAAACTGTTCCACATCAAGTTCAGTGTGCCGGCCGATCAGCCACAAGAGCAGCCAACCAGCCAAGCTTTTATTTTCCATTTCTGATTGTGTTCATTCATTCTGTTTTTTAACTTTTTAAATTTATTTTCTTCCCTAGAATTTGACCATTAATGACCTGGACAAATTCCCCAAAACCTACAATCCGTAAGTCTGACACTCACTGGAACGAGACCTGGTTTAGTCCTGGTTCAGTCCTGGTTCAGTCCTGGTTTAGTCCTGGTTTAGTCCTGGTTCAGTCCTGGTTTAGTCCTGGTTTAGTCCTTGTTTAGTCCTTGTTCAGTCCTGGTTCAGTCCTGGTTTAGTCCTTGTTCAGTCCTGGTTCAGTCCTGGTTTAGTCCTGGTTTAGTCCTGGTTCAGTCCTGGTTTAGTCCTGGTTCAGTCCTGGTTCAGTCCTGGTTTAGTCCTGGTTTAGTTCTGGTTTAGTCCTGGTTCAGTCCTGGTTTAGTCCTGGTTTAATCCTGGTTTAGTCCTGGTTCAGTTTCTTCCTGTCTTAGACCCATTTTTGTTTTTTGCAGGTTGATTTCCAAACTCATCGCTGACATCCAGAAACAGAAAAGTGGGAAGAGGCGTTTTTTCCCGTGAGTCTGAAGGTTGTGGGTTCGATTCTGTGACGTCAGATTTAACTCGAGTCTTTTTCTTTCAGCTTTGGTCAGTCGAAAAACCCACTGCCAGGTAACAAAGACTCCTACTGTACTGGTCCTGGTCTAGTCCTGGTTTAGTCCTAGTTCAGTCCTGGTGTAGTCCTAGTTTAGTCCTGATCTGGTCTGTGGTTCAGTGCCGGTTTAGACTTTTTTTAGACCTAGTTTAGATCTGGTTTAGACCTGGTTCAGTCCCGGCTTAGATTTTGTTTTGTCCTGGTTTAGACGTAGTTTAGTCCTGGTTCAGTCCTGGTCTAACCCTGATCTAGTCCTGGTTTAGACCTGGTTTAGTCCTTGTTTAATCTTGGTTTAGTCCTGTTTTAGTTTGGGTTTAGTCTTGGTTTAGTCCTGGTTTAGTCCTAGTTTAGTCCTGGTTTAGTTCTGGTGTAGTTTTGGTTTAGACCTGGTTTAGTCCTGACTTAGTCCTTGTTTAGTCCTGGTTTAGTCCTGTTTTAGTCCTGGTTTAGTCCTGACTTAGTCTTGGCTTAGTCCTGTTTTAGTCCTAGTTTAGTCCTGTTTTAGTCCTGTTTTAGTCCTGTTGTCCTGTTTTAGTCCTAGTTTAGTCCTGTTTTAGTCCTAGTTTAGTCCTGGTTTAGTCCTGTTTTAGTCCTGGTTTAGTCCCTGGTTTAGTCCTGATTTAGTCCTGGTTTAGTCCTGTTTTAGTTTAGTACCGGTTTAGTCCTGTTTTAGTCCTGTTTTAGTCCCGGGTTAGTCCTGTTTTAGTCCCGGTTTAGTCCTGTTTTAGTCCTGGTTTAGTCCCTGGTGTAGTCCTGTTTTAGTCCTGGTTTAGTCCACAAACATTATTTTTAAATCACTCAAAATAATTCACAAAATATTGATAAAATGTTTTTAATTTAAATGTTTTAGTCCAAACTGAGGCGGACGACGGCGGCTGGGGCAGAGAAGAGTTTGTGAGTACCCTCCCGAGACTTTAGGCCTGGTTTAGTCCCGGCTCAGTCCACGTTTAGACCTGGTTTAGTCCTGGTTCAGACCTGGTCTTTCTGCCCTTTCAGGACGAGTCAGATGAAGGAGATGATTTAGACGAAGATTACGAGGAGCCGGAGAACGACGAAGACGACGTGGGCGACTACGAAGACCCGAGCGACGACCCAGACCCCAACCAAGTCCAATACCGGTACCAGGGCCCCACCCAGGACCCGGACCAGGACTCGGACTATGAACCCCCGCCCTCGGAACCGGAAGAGTTCACCCACAAACTGCCGTGTGCCCCCCTAGGAGATGGAGACTACATCGGTGAGGAGGGGGAGGGTTTGTGTTTAGACCTGGTTTAGTTCTGATTTAGTCCTGGTTTAGTTCTGGTTTAGTCTTGGTTTTTGACCTTGGTTTGACAATAAACAAACTTTCAGTTAGAGCTGTAAAAGTTGACGGATTTGCCCTGACGAGTCGATTATAAAGAATAAGACTGTAATTATTTGGTTTAGACCTGGTTTAGTAGTCTGGTTAAGACCTAGTTTAGATCCGATTTAGACCTAGTTTAGACCAGGTTTAGACCAGGTTTAATGCTCTGGTTTAGACCTAGTTTAGATCTGGTTTAGACCTGGTTTAGACCTAGTTTAGACCAAGTTTAGACCTAGTTTAGACCTAGTTGAGACCTGGTTTAGACCAGATTTAGACCTAGTTTAGACTTGGTTTGGACCTAGTTTAGACCAGGTTTAATATTCTGGTTTAGACCGAGGTTTAGACCTAGTTTAGATCTGGTTTAGACCTGGTTCAGACCTGGTTTAATACTCTGGTTTAGACCTAGTTTAGACCTGGTTTAGATCTGGTTTAGACCTGGTTCAGACCTGGTTTAATACTCTGGTTTAGACCTTGTTTAGATCTGGTTTAGATCTGGTTTAGACCTGGTTTAGATCTGGTTTAGATCTGGTTTAGACCTGGTTTAGACCTGGTTTAGACCTGGTTTAGACCTGGTTTAGAGTGTGATCAGAACTGCAGAAGCAGCTTGGACGAGCTGAGAAACAGATTCAACCAAAATAAACTTTTGTCCAGTTGACAAATTCACAAATTCGACGTTCTGATTGGTTCACAGACAGTCACATGACCTCCAGAGGCCCGCCCCCTGTGCTGTGTCCCCGCCCCCCAGTGTCCGCCCCCCACAGGACCGTAAGTACCAGATGCCCTCCCCGTGTGTGTCAGGTGCCCTCCCGTGTGTGTCAGATGCCCTCCCCGTGTGTGTCAGGTGCCCTCCCTGTGTGTGTCAGGTGCCCTCCCTTCCCCGTGTGTGTCAGGTGCCCTCCCCGTGTGTGTCAGGTGCCCTCCCTTCCCGTGTGTGTCAGGTGCCCTCCCTTCCCGTGTGTGTCAGGTGCCCTTCCCGTGTGTGTCAGGTGCCCTCCTCGTGTGTGTCAGGTGCCCTCCTCGTGTGTGTCAGGTGCCCTCCCTCCCGTGTGTGTCAGGTGCCCTCCCCGTGTGTGTCAGGTGCCCTCCCGTGTGTGTCAGGTGCCCTCCCCGTGTGTGTCAGTGTGTGTCAGGTGCCCTCCTCCCCGTGTGTGTTCAGGTGCCCTCCTCGTGTGTGTGTCAGGTGCCCTCCCCTCCTCGTGTGTGTCAGGTGCCCTCCCTCCTCGTGTGTGTCAGATGCCCTAACCATGTGTGTCAGGTGCCCTCCTCATGTGTGTCAGGTGCCCTCCCTCCCGTGTGTGTCAGATGCCCTCCCCATGTGTGTCAGGTGCCCTCCCCGTGTGTGTCATGCCCTCCCGTGTGTGTCAGATGCCCTCCCCGTGTGTGTCAGGTGCCCTCCCCGTGTGTGTCAGGTGCCCTCCTCGTGTGTGTCAGGTGCCCTCCCTCCCCGTGTGTGTCAGGTGCCCTCCTCGTGTGTGTCAGGTGCCCTCCCTCCCCGTGTGTGTCAGGTGCCCTCCCCGTGTGTGTCAGGTGCCCTCCTCGTGTGTGTCAGGTGCCCTCCCCGTGTGTGTCAGGTGCCCTCCTCGTGTGTGTCAGGTGCCCTCCCTCCTCGTGTGTGTCAGGTGCCCTCCCCGTGTGTGTCAGGTGCCCTCCTCGTGTGTGTCAGGTGCCCTCCCCGTGTGTGTCAGGTGCCCTCCCGTGTGTGTCAGGTGCCCTCCCGTGTGTGTGTCAGGTGCCCTTCCTCTCCGTGTGTGTCAGATGCCCTCCCCATGTGTGTCAGGTTCCCTCCCCGTGTGTGTCAGGTGCCCTCCCTTCCCGTGTGTGTCAGGTGCCCTCCTCATGTGTGTCAGGTGCCCTCCCTTCGTGTGTGTCAGGTGCCCTCCTCGTGTGTGTCAGGTGCCCTCCTCTCGTGTGTGTCAGGTGCCCCTCTCCTCGTGTGTGTCAGGTGCCCTCCTCGTGTGTGTCAGGTGCCCTCCCCGTGTGTGTCAGGTGCCCTCCTCGTGTGTGTCAGGTGCCCTCCCCGTGTGTGTCAGGTGCCCTCCCCGTGTGTGTCAGGTGCCCTCCCCGTGTGTGTCAGATGCCCTCCTCGTGTGTGTCAGGTGCCCTCCCCGTGTGTGTCAGGTGCCCTCCTCGTGTGTGTCAGGTGCCCTCCCTCCCCGTGTGTGTCAGATGCCCTCCCCATGTGTGTCAGGTTCCCTCCCCGTGTGTGTCAGGTGCCCTCCCTTCCCGTGTGTGTCAGATGCCCTTCCCGTGTGTGTCAGGTGCCCTCCTCGTGTGTGTCAGGTGCCCTCCTCCCGTGTGTGTCAGGTGCCCTTCCCGTGTGTGTCAGGTGCCCTCCCCGTGTGTGTCAGGTGCCCTCCCGTGTGTGTCAGGTGCCCTCCCCGTGTGTGTCAGGTGCCCTCCCCGTGTGTGTCTGAGTTTTGTTTTGTTTTTTCAGCCGATGGAGACGAGAAGAGACGCCTCCCCTCGTCCACCCGGAGCCCCAAAACCTACAGGAAAACGTGAGACTAAACCAGGACTGAACCAGGACTGAACCAGGACTGAACCAGGACTAAACCAGGACTGAACCAGGACTAAACCAGGACTGAACCAGGACTGAACCAGGACTAAACTAGAACTAAACCAGGATTAAACCAGGACTAAACCAGGACTAAACCAGGACTGAACCAGGACTGAACCAGGATTAAACCAGGACTAAACCAGGACTAAACCAGGACTAAACTAGAACTAAACCAGGATTAATCCAGGACTAAACCAGGGACTAAACCAGGGACTAAACCAGGACTGAACCAGGACTGAACCAGGACTAAACCAGGACTGAACCAGGACTAAACTAGAACTAAACCAGGATTAAACCAGGATTAAACCAGGACTAAACCAGGGACTAAACCAGGACTGAACCAGGACTGAACCAGGATTAAACCAGAACCAGACCAGGATCAAACCAGGACTGAAACAGGATGAAAACCAGGACTGAACCAAGACCAAACCAGGACTGAACCAGGACTGAACCAGGACTAAACCAGGACTAAACTAGGTCTGAACCAGGACTGAACCAGGACTAAACCAGGATCAAACCAGAACTAAACCAGGACTAAACCCGGTCTCTTTTCCTCAGTCCCTGCTCAGCCTCCTCCCATCAGCAGAGTGAATAAACCCGGTCGAGATCCTGGTTCGAGTCAGTCCCCAAACCGAGGTGAGTCTGGATCCACTGCTGCCTCCTGCTGGTCCGTTTGAGTATTACACACACATTTACATATTTACCCTCTGACAACACTCTGCCCCACCTTGTGATGTCACTGGGTGTTTTCATACGTTCCATCTTGTTTGTTTTCTTCGCAGGCATGCAAAGGAACACGGTGGAAAAGGTGAGATCCTCGTTCTTCGTACACTTTTATATTTTTATTGATCAAATATTAAATCCCTCACCTGAAGAGTTTTTAGACTCATTCATGCACAATATGTTTTTCGATACAGTGCACTTTCCATTCAATATAATTTGATACGATATATTTCAAATCAATTCGATACGGTTCGATAAATCAAAGTCTGTGAGTCTGTACTAAAAGTCCACTAACTTAACATGAAAAACACCCATTTTCCTCAAAACAGTGAAAATGTTGACACAACTGTAGCTCTTACACAAAATAATTTAGTAAAATACACCTAAAAATACTGTTGTTCATTTATACATGTTTGAGTAATCTAGCAATCTCTAATCAAAATCTGTTTACTTAGTGTAGAGAGTAGGGGACCTGCAAAAATATCGAAATATCGTATCGTTTAATGTGATGATACAGTGCCTGCGTATCCAGGTATGCATCGTATCGTACCCCATGTATTGGGGTATGCATCGTATCGTACCCCATGTATTGGGGTATGCATCGTGGCATGTGTATTGAGGTATGCATCGTGGCATGTGTATTGAGGTATGCGTCGTATTGTGGCCTATGTATCGAGGTGTGCATCGTATCATAGACTATGTATCGAGGTAGGCATCATATCGTGGCATGTGTATCGAGGTATGCGTCGTATCGTGGACTATGTATCGAGGTATGCATCATGGCATGTGTATTGAGGTATGCATCGTGGCATGTGTATCGAGATATGCGTCGTATTGTGGTCTATGTATCGAGGTGTGCATCGTATCATAGACTATGTATCGAGGTAGGCATCGTATCGTGGCATGTGTATCGAGGTATGTATCGTATCGTAGACTACGCATCGAGGTATGTGTCGTATCGTGGACTACGTATCGAGGTATGCATCGTATCGTGGACTACGTATCAAGGTATGCATCGTATCGTGTACTATGTATCGAGGTATGCGTCGTATCGTGGACTATGTATCGAGGTATGCGTCGTATCGTGGACTATGTATCGAGGTATGCATCGTATCGTGGACTATGTATCGAGGTATGCATCACATCGTGGACTACGTTTCGTAGACTATGTATCAAAGTATGCGTCGTATCGTGAACTATGTATCGAGGTATGCGTCGTATCGTGAACTATGTATCGAGGTATGTGTCGTATCGTAGACTACGTATCGAGGTATGCGTCGTATCGTGGACTATGTATCGAGGTATGCGTCGTATAATATATAATATATATAGTTTTCAGAACAATAAAAGGAACATGTTGATCTAAACATGCGACCCACAGAATAAGATACACACTCTTTAATGTCGGTGTTATTTCGGTGAGTGTTTCTCAAAATGCAGTGCAGACTTTTTCGGTGAGTCCTCGTTTAGAACTCGTGTGTTTATAGTTGGAGTCTAGACCGGTATCAGCGCCAGTTTAAATCTGGTCTTGGTTAGATCTGGTGGTTATCAGAAAGAAAGTTCTTTGGGTTTTCTCCTGTCCTCTGTGTGACCTAAACGTCCCCGTGTGTGTCAGATGCCCTCCCCGTGTGTCTGAACTATTTTAAAGTTGATGTTTTTTTTGTTTTTTCAGCCGCTGCCGCAGAGCTGGGGGTATGTTTCTGTCGTTTCAGTCGTTTGTGTTGTTTCTGTTGTTTTTCGTTTCTGTTGTTTGTCGTTTCTGTGGTTTCAGTCATTTCTGTCGTGTCTGGTGTTTCTGTTGTTTCAGTCGTTTGTCTTTTCTGTCGTTTGTCGTTTCTGTCATTTGGCATTTCTGTCGTTTTTGTTGTTTGTCGTTTCTGACGTTTCAGTTGTTTCTGACGTTTTAGTCATTTCTGTCATTTGTCGTTTCTGTCATTTGTCATTTCTGTGGTTTCAGTCGTTTCAGTCGTTTTATTTGTTTCAGTCATTTGTCATTTCAGTCATTTGTCGTTTCTGTCGTTTGGCGTTTCTGTGGTTTCAGACGTTTCTGTGGTTTCAGTCGTTTCAGTGGTTTTTGTCATTCAGTCGTTTCTGTGGTTTCTGTGGTTTGTCGTTTCTGTGCTTTCAGTCATTTCTGTGGTTTCAGTTGTTTCTGTTGTTTGTCGTTTCAGTCCTTTCTGTTGTTTGTTGTTTCAGTTGTTTGTCGTCTCTGTCATTTGTCGTTTCAGTCATTTCTGTCCTTTGTCGTTTCTGTCGTTTCGGTCGCTTCTGACGTTTGTCCTTTCTGTCGTTTCAGTCCTTTCTGTCATTTGTCGTTTCTGTCGTTTGGCGTTTCTGTGGTTTCAGACGTTTCTGTGGTTTCAGTTGTTTCAGTAGTTTTTGTCATTCAGTCGTTTCTGTGGTTTCTGTTGTTTGTCGTTTCTGTTGTTTGTCGTTTCTGTCGTTTGTCATTTCAGTAATCTCTGTCATTTGTCGTTTCTGTCGTTTGTCGTCTCTGTCATTTGTCGTTTCTGTCGTTTGTCGTCTCTGTCATTTGTCGTTTCTGTCGTTTGTCGTCTCTGTCATTTGTCGTTTCTGTCGTTTGTCGTCTCTGTCATTTGTCGTTTCTGTCGTTTGTCGTCTCTGTCATTTGTCGTTTCTGTCGTTTGTCGTCTCTGTCATTTGTCGTTTCTGTCATTTGTCGTTTCTGTCGTTTTTCGCTTCTGTCATTTCTGTCCTTTCTGTCGTTTCAGTCATTTCTTTCATGTCTGTCGTTTCAGTCATTTCTGTCGTTTGTCGTCTCTGTTGTTTCTATTGTTTCGTTCACTGGGTTCCACTTGGTCTCTGGTCTGAACTCTGGTCTCTGGTCTACAGTCGGACCCCGGACCCTCCAGAGTCCCAGACCTGGACTAAACCGCCGATCCTGCCCCCGACACAAACCTCTGTGAGCCGGAGCAACTCAGGAGCCAGAGTCCCTCCCCAGAGGTACTGCCCCGGGACCATGGATAAACCCGGTTTAGACCCGGTTTAGTCCTGGTTCCTGGTTTACTCTAGGCTTAGTTCTCATTTAGCCCTGGTTTAGACCTAATTTAGTCCTGGTTTAGTCCCCTGAATCAGTCCTAGTTGAGACCTGATTTAGACCTAGTTTAGACCTGGTTTAGTCCAGTTTTAGACCTAGTTTGGTCCTGGTTCAGTCTTGTTTTAGACCTGGTTTACTCCTGTTTTAGTCCTGTTTTAGACCTGGTTTAGTCCTGGGTTAGTCCTGGTTTAGTCCTGTTTTAGTCCTGGTTTAATCCTGTTTTAGACCTAGTTTGGTCCTGTTTTAGTCCTGTTTTAGTCCTGGTTTAGTCCTGTTTTAGACCTGGTTTAGTCCTGTTTTAGTCCTGTTTTAGACCTAGTTTGGTCCTGGTTTTAATCCTGTTTTAGTCCTGGTTTAGTCCTGTTTTAGACCTAGTTTGGTCCTGTTTTAGTCCTGGTTTAGTCCAGTTTTAGACCTAGTTTGGTCCTGGTTCAGTCCTGTTTTAGACCTGGTTTAGTCCTGGGTTAGTCCTGGTTTAGTCCTGGTTTAGTCCTGTTTTAGTCCTGGTTTAATCCTGTTTTAGACCTGGTTTAGTCCTGTTTTAGTCCTGTTTTAGTCTTGGTTTAGTTCTGTTTTAGACCTAGTTTGGCCCTGGTTTAGTCCTGTTTTAGACCTAGTTTGGTCCTGTTTTAGTCCTGGTTTAGTCCAGTTTTAGACCTAGTTTGGTCCTGTTTTAGTCCTGGTTTAGTCCTGGTTTAGACCTAGTTTGGCCCTGTTTTAGTCCTGGTTTAGTCCAGTTTTAGACCTAGTTTGGTCCTGTTTTAGTCCTGGTTTAGACCTAGTTTGGCCCTGGTTTTATTCCTGTTTTTTTTACTTATGTAAAATGTAACTAATGTTAGAACAAAATTTATATTGATTCATTCGTTTATAAAAATATTTCTCACTTTTTCAGATTTGAAGTTCGTCGAGAGGTACATAAAACGATTATTCATCACATTTCTATTTGTCCTTATTTTCATTTTAATTTAATTTTTGTATTTTTTGTTTGCAGCCACAGCCCGTCCCAAACGAAGGTGAGAGAATCAGCGACTGAAACTCTGCTCTGTGTTTCACAGCACGAATAAATGTTCTTTTATTTTGTAGATCATAAGAGAAACACTTTTCCCCTTCAAAATAAGAGCGCACGACCTGGGCCTCCTCCAGTCCGACACACGGACAGGTCAGAGACACACCGGGTTTAGACCGGGTTTAGACATGGTTTAGTCCTGGTTTAGCCTTGGTTTAGTCCTGGTTTAGCCTTGGTTTAGACCTGGTTTAGTCCTGGTTTAACCTTGGTTTAGTCCTGGTTTAAACCTGGTTTAGTCCTGGTTTAGAACTGGTTTAGACCTGATTTAGTCCTGGTTTAGTCCTGGTTTCGACCTGGTTTCGACCTGGTTTAGACCTGGTTTAGACCTGGTTTAGTCCTGGTTTAGACTTGGTTTAGTCCTGGTTTAGTCTTAGCACGATTCCAGTTCAGATGAATGCTGTTGTTGTGTCCTTGAGCAAGACACTTCACCTCTTTCGCCCATGACCTTTACAGTCGAGTTTCCCTTTTTCACTTTCTACTTATTGTTTTTTTTTTTTTTTTTTTTTTTTTTTTTTTTTTTTTCAGTCTTCCTCCAGGACTCCCGTCGGCGCCCCTCAAACCTTTCTCAGGTTTTAGTTTGATCATTATTATTTATTTTTATTGATTAAAATTAAATTATTCTAGATTTATTTGTTGAATATTTTAACATTTTTACTTCTTTTTTTTTTTTTAGGAGGACCTCCCGCTCCAGAGAGACCGTCTTTTCGATCCCCACCCTCCTCCTCAAACCAGGTCAGAGCCTCATTTTGGTTTAGTCTTGGTGTAGTCCTGGTTTAGTCCTGGTTTAATCCTACATTTAGCCCTGGTTCAGTCCTAGTTCAGTCCTGGTTTGGTCGTTGTTCAGTTCTAATTCAGTCTTGGTTTATTTCTGGTTTAGTCCTGGTTTAATCCTGTTCTAGTCCTGATTTAGTCCTGTTTCAATCCTGGTTTAGTCCTGGTTTAGTCCTGGTTTAGTCTTGGTTCAATTCTAACTCAGTCCTGGACAGGTCTAGTTCAGTCCTGGTTTAGCCCTGGTTTATTCCCAGTTGGTATTCCTATTTGTAGTCCTGGTTTTGTTCTGGTTCAGTCCTGGTTTAGTCCTGGTTTAATTGTAGTTCAGTCCTGGTTCAGTTCTAGTTTAGTTCTGGCTTAGTCCTGGTTTAATCCCAGTTGGTTTTCTTATATGTAGTCCTGGTTCAGGCCTGCTTCTATTCTGGTTTAGTCCTTAGTCCTGGTGTAGTTCCAGTTGCTTTAGTCCTGGTTCAGTCCTGGTTCAGTTCTGGTTCAATCCTGGTTTAGTCCTGGTTCAGTCCTGGTTTAATCCTGGTTTTCTTCAGGACTTGGATCCTCTGTGGTACGTGGGTAAAGTGACTCGGGCTGAAGCTGAGGCCACGCTCAAACAACTGGGGAAGGTACGAAACTTCAACAAAAATTCACTGAAACTTTACCAAAAATGTTCATATCATAGAACAAACAGAATGTGGTTTCGCAAAACAGATTCTTGTGAGATTTAAGTCATGTGAGAATGTCATTCCCTCCTCAAAAACAAACCTGGAGTCACGTTTTGTTTCATTCACACGAGAACGCTTGTGGGTAAAAACGACAAAATATTTTATCAGGAGTGTTTTTCGTTTAGACGGTGACGGCGTTTTTGGGGCTTAAAAAAAACGCAAAAATCTGAAACCGCCCTCCAGAGTGGAAAAGTTGAATACTCTCTGCCGTAGAGTTTCCATCCACACTGCCCAAGACGCAAAACTCTGGTCAGATCTGCTCAGGGCGCGTACACATTTACGTCACGTACATCACCATATAAACGTACCGTATTTTCCGCACTATTAGGCGCTCTGGATTATAAGACGCACGTCATTAAATGGTCTATTTTCAAACTTTTTTCACAAATAAATTACATGGGACTTTAAATGAAACCCAACAGTGTGATGGGTGAGTGGTTTTGTTTGTTTGTGGTTGTTCACAGTGACTCTGGGCTTTGTTCAGTTGTGGCGTGTAGGGAGGGTGCTGCCTGGGACCAACGGATTGTCGGCGTGTTCGCAGTGACTCAGTTGTTCAGTCGTGTCTAGAAGTGGCACATTGCACTCGCTTTTTTCGGTTCGTTCCTCTGTTCCGTTCCTCGTCGGTGTGGAGTGATGAGTGTGTCTGTGGGTGTTTTTCGCTGCGCAGTTGCCTTCTTACGGAAGCCGAGAGGGCTCACAACAAACGCAAATGCCGCAACGAATGCAAATGCGACAATGCAACAAAAAGCCACAACGGAAATGACCACGGGACTCTATATTAATACAAACACCACAACACAAACGCAAAAGCCACAACATATTAAAAAGCCACAACACATTAAAAAGCCTCAATGGAAGTGACCACGGGACTCTATTTTCCGACGGACCGATCAAGCGGCAAGTGAAGAAGAAGAACTACAACGCGAAACGAATAATGATAAAACAATAAATTACTTTTACTTACGTTTCCAACTTCTCCATTCCTTTACTTTTCACGTTGAAGTTCTTCTTCTTCACTTGCCGCTTGATCGGTCTGTTGGAAAATAGAGTCCCACGGTCACTTCCGTTGTGGCTTTTTAATGTGTTGTCGCATTTGTATTTGTTGCGGCGTTTGCGTTTGTTGTGAACCCGCTCGGCTTCCGTTGTTTTCTTTTCGAGAGACGAACCTAAATCTGCAGGTTTGTGAGTTTAAACATGTGAATGAAACAAAACACAACTCCAGGTTTGTTTGTGACGAGGAAACGACTTTATAGAACAGCAGAAAGTCCTCAGCAGTACAGAACTTACAGAACATCTGGGTCTGGGTCTAATCTGGGTCTGGGTCTTTTTCAGGACGGGGCCTTCGTGATCCGGGACAGCTCTCGTCAGTCCACGGTGCAGCCCTACACCCTCATGGTCCAGTACCAGAACAAGGTCTACAACATCCAGATCCAGAACCAAGACCACAAGTACCTGCTGGGGACCGGCATCAAAGTACAGGAGGTCTGGACCAGGACTAAAGGGGGACCACACCGGGACTGGAGGAGGACTAAAGAGGGACCACACCGGGGCTGGAGTAGGACTAAAGAGGGACCACACCGGGGCTGGAACAGGACTAAAGAGGGACCACACTGGAACAGGACTAAAGAGGAACTACACCAGGACTGGAGAAAGATTAAAGTGGGACTGGAGCAGGACTAAAGAGGGACTACACTGGGACTATAACAGGACTAAAGAGGGACCACACCGGGACTGGAGTAGGACTAGACCAGAACTAGACCAGCATTAAACCAAGACTAGACCAGGACTAAACCAAGAATAAAGCAAGACTTCACCGGGACTAAAGAGGGACTAGACCAGGCACTGGACAAAAACTAAACCAAGACTCAACCAGGACTACAGCGGGACTAAAGAGGGACTATACTGAGACTAAAGAGGTACTAGACCAGGGACTAAACCACGACTGGAACAGATTTAAAGCAGGACAAGACCAGGGACTACATGGGGAAATAGAGAAGAGACCGGGACTACTGTAGACCAGATCTTAAACGGGACTGAATCCGGTCTAAACCCAGTTCAGACCGGGCCTGTTGGTTGATTTCTTGTGTGTTTTGTTTCAGTCTTTCGCGTCGGTTCGGGGGATTGTGGAACATTTCTCTCAGTCTCCGCTGCTCCTCATCGACTCGAAGAATCGCAGCACCAGCCAACACAACCAGTGCCTGCTGTCTGCGCCCGCCGGACCCTACATGGACGGGGTCTAGACCGGGCCTGGGTCTAGACCGGGACCCCTTATACGGGCCGGGTCAAGACCAGGAGCAGGTCTGAGCACCGGGTCTGGACCGAAGACCACACATGGACCGGGCGTGGATTTATAACACGACCAACACGACGCCGTCTTTGGTTCATCTGTCAGATCTGGCTGTACTTCCACGGGACCGGGTCTGAACCAGGACTCTGCCAAGTTGGACTAAGCTGAGTCTGGATCTAGACCCGGACTCTGATGGGTCTAAACTTGCTCAGAAGGACTTATTTAGATGATTTTAGTATGAATTGTCTCCCCGCAGATGTTATTTTTTGGTCCTAATGTCCATATTTTCTTAAAAGTACAAAACTTTACGTCTAATTTACATTAAACTTTTGTCCCGGTTAAATCCGAGCTTTGGGAGCATGAGTTCTGGAGACTAAACTGCAGCTCATGCAAAGTGCTAAAGAAAATGTCTATTATTTATAAGATTGTACTGGAGCTTTTACTGCTTTTACTGTCGCATATTTTCATTAAAGTGCATTTGACAGAGTCATGTTTTTTTTTTTGATTCTGACTTGGTTTGGTGAGGAAGTACCAGCGATAAAAATAAATAAACAGTTTTGGGAGTAACGTGTTATGAAAGTGAAAGTATTTTACAGAAACACAGTATAACGAGCCGTGGAGATTCCATGCACGGAGAAGAAGAGAGGAGAGGGGGGTGCTAAACCAGGACTAAACCAGAACTAAACCAGGACTGTTTGTCGGGACGAGTCCGAAGGTGCCCCCACGTAGACACGGGGCTCAGTGCAGCAGGCGCCCAGTCGCGCTTTACAAACACCCTGCTCTGTGGAGTCAGGGTTCACTCTCTCACTCTCTCTCAAGTCCAAGATTAGTCCTGGTTTAGTCCTGGTTTAGTTCTGGTTTAGACCTGGTTTAGTCCTGGTTTAGTCCTGGTTTAAGCCTGGATTGGTCCTGGTTTAGACCTGGTTTAGACTCTGCCTAGCAACAAGTGACAGCTGAAATGCTTTAAGATGAAAATTAGGGTCGGGCACATTAATGCGTTAATTTTGTGTTAACTAATTAAGTCATTATCATCGACAATTATTGTAACACAGTTTTTATTATTGATTTATTTATTTTATTGTAAATGTCGGTTTCTCACTGGTTTTTATTTTGAAAAAGTTCACCATGAGCGTTTCTTTAAGTCTGACATGTTTTCTTTACACTTTTTTCACTTTTTTCTGACCACGTGAGATGCAACATGTCTGAGCCTCCGCGAGCCGCGGGCCCGGCCACAGGTTCGGCCGCAGGCTCTGGCTCCAGCCGTGGGCTCCAGCTCTGTCCGGACCAGCCGTGCGCTCTGAGCTTAGCTTATTTCTTTAGTTCAGTGCTGCAGGGGGAGTCACTGATTTACCCAGATACCAATGGAAGAAATATTGTGATTGGTCCATTTCCATTCCATTATATTAACCCTTTGTTTCCCAAGAAATATCAGTCCAAGTACAGCTATATTTTATTTCATTCATTGGTTTTGCGTATAACATGTGATTAATCACGATTAATCGCTCGAACTCATGCGATTAATGAGATTTATTTTTTTATTTTTTTTGCCCAGCCCTGATGAAAATAAATGTGTGGAAGCAGCACAAGCATCGGAAAAGACCTGCAGGCTTCATCTTCGAGACAAGCATCAGTCAGGTCGCCCTGTGTGCACACCAGGGCAGCGTGCCCAGGTTAAGGGCCGACCTCCGCTCTGGGGGACAGGGACCAGCCCGCGGTGTCCTTACCCCGCAGAGGAGCTCCATGGAAAGGCCACGGGGCGAGATGGTGTGTCTGGGCCTCGCTGCCGACAGGTCTGACGTGAGGAAGAGCCTCAGTGTCCTCGAGTCACATGCAGTCGAACCCGCAGAGCCCTGGATAAACGTCAGTCAGACCAGTTTTGTTTCTTTTGTCTATGACACACAAGAACTACTTTACTGCCTTTTGAGGAACAAAAAATCAAACGAGTGGAGTGACGGCGCCCAACAAAACCTGCACATGAGTAGTGTTGGGAAGTTTACTTACAAAATGTATTCCCCTACAGATTACAGATTACATACTCCAAAATGTAGTTTGTAACGTAATCCATAAAGTTACTTAAAGTGAGTAACGTAATCTGAATACTTTGGATTACTTGATTTGCTGTAGAGAAGCAAAGACGAGGATGGTTTAGTCCTGATTTTAGACCTGGTTTAGATCTAGTTTAGACCTGTTTTTTGTCGTGGTTTAGACCTGGTTTAGACCTGGTTTAGACCTGGTTTAGTTTCTGGCAATGAGTGGAATTACTGGGGAAAAAAATAAATAAATGAAAAGGGGGATATAGCCCAAAATGTGAAAACAGGAAAATACCACCATGTAATCCATTTATTTCAACAAAGTAACTGTAATCCAATTACCACTCACTGAAACAGTAACTGAATACTGAATACTCATAATTTGTACTCTGATTACGTAACTCCAGTACATGTAATCTGTTACTCCCCAACACTGTACATGAGTAAATGCAGGACACAGTCTACAAGTTTAATGCCGGACTGTGGAACATTGTTAACAAGAAATAACATCTCTTTGACCACGAGGGTCCGGTTGAAGAGTTCCAGAGTGTGTCTTTAAATAATGTATATTTATTATGTTTTTGAAGCTTTGACATTAAAGTGAGTTTTTGTCAGAACTCGGTTTAATCTGATCCTGACGCTCAGATGTAGATCAGCTGTTAGCATATCATTAACATGTGAAAGAAGAACACACTCCAGTGTTTGTCTGTAAACACCAGATCTAAACCAGGACTACAACAGGACTAAACCAGGACTACAACCAGAGGACTAAACCAGGACTACAACAGGACTAAACCAGGACTATAACAGGACTAAACCAGGACTACAACCAGGACTAAACCAGGACTACAACCAGGACTACAACAGGACTAAACCAGGACTACAACCAGGACTAAACAGGACTAAACAGGACTAAACCAGGACTAAACCAGGACTAAACCAGGACTACAACAGGACTAAACCAGGACTACAACCAGGACTACTAAACCAGAACTAAACCAGGACTATAACAGGACTAAACCAGGACTACAACCAGGACTAAAACAGGACTAAACCAGGACTACAACAGGACTAAACCAGGACTAAACCAGGACTAAACCAGAACTAAACCAGGACTACAACAGGACTAAACCAGGACTACAACAGGACTAAACCAGAACTAAACCAGGACTATAACAGGACTAAACCAGGACTACAACAGGACTAAACCAGAACTAAACCAGGACTATAACAGGACTAAACCAGGACTACAACAGGACTAAACCAGAACTAAACCAGGACTATAACAGGACTAAACCAGGACTACAACAGGACCAAACCAGGACTATAACAGGTCTAAACCAGGACTATAACAGGTCTAAACCAGGACTATAACAGGTCTAAACCAGGACTACAAACAGGTCTAAACCAGGACTATAACAGGTCTAAACCAGGACTATAACAGGTCTAAACCAGGACTACAACAGGACTAAACCAGGACTAAACCAGGACTATAACAGGTCTAAACCAGGACTAAAAACAGGACTAAACCACAGACTGTATAAAAAAGTGTTCAGCGCTGCTCAGTTGAGGCTCTCGATGTTCACGGTTACAGAGTGAATCTGGAGTCAGGATCTGTGTTATTAAATGTATTTTCTGGTCTAATCCTGGTCTAGTTCCAGGGGCGAACTGGCAATCTGTGTTCTAGAAAAGTCCAGAATGGCTGTCTGGTCTACCGGCTAATCTGCCCATTTGTCAAGAATAAATCGCCTAAAAGGAGAAAGAAGAGAAGGTCACTCGTTGGTTTCGACTGAGGGATTCTACACAGATCAGAAGTAGTTCATCTTTGTGTGTTTCCTTCAGTTATTTCATTATTGACTTACTTAAATGATTTATTATTATTTATTTAAATTATCAATCCTGATGTAGTCCTGGACTAGTCCTGGACTAGTCCTGATCTGGTCTTGGTCTGGTCCTGGTCTAGTCCTGGTCTAGTCCTGGTCTAGTCCTGGTCTGGTCCTGGTCTAGTCCTGGTCTAGTCCTGGTCTAGTCCTGGTCTAGTCTGGTCTGGTCTGTCTAGTCCTGGTCTAGTCCTGGTCTGGTCCTGGTCTGGTCTGGTCTGGTCCTGGTCTGATCCTGGTCTGGTCTGGTGTAGTCCTGGTCTAGTCCTGGTCTGGTCCTGGTCCTGGTGTAGTCCTGGTCTGGTCCTGGTCTGGTCCTGGTGTAGTCCTGGTCTAGTCCTGGTCTGGTCTGGTCTGTGTAGTCCTGGTCTAGTCTGGTCTGGTCCTGGTCCTGTCTAGTCCTGTCTAGTCCTGTCTAGTCCTGGTCTAGTCTGGTCTGGTCTGGTCCTGGTCTAGTCCTGGTCCTGGTCTAGTCTGGTCTGGTCCTGGTCTAGTCCTGGTCTGGTCTGGTCTGGTCTAGTTCTGGTCTGGTCCTGGTCTAGTCCTGGTCTGGTCCTGGTCTAGTCCTGGTCTAGTCCTGGTCTGGTCCTGGTCTGGTCCTGGTCTGGTCCTGTCTGTCTGGTCTGGTCCTGTAGTCCTGGTCTAGTCTGGTCTGGTCTGGTCCTGGTGTAGTCCTGGTCTGGTCCTGGTCTGGTCCTGGTGTAGTCCTGGTCTAGTCCTGGTCTGGTCCTGGTCCTGGTGTAGTCCTGGTCTAGTCTGGTCTGTCCTGGTCTAGTCCTGTCTAGTCCTGGTCTAGTCCTGGTCTAGTCCTGGTCCTGGTGTAGTCCTGGTCTGGTCCTGGTCTGGTCCTGGTCTAGTCCTGGTCTGGTCCTGGTCTGGTCCTGGTGTAGTCCTGGTCTAGTCCTGGTCCTGGTCCTGGTGTAGTCCTGGTCTGGTCCTGGTCTGGTCCTGGTGTAGTCCTGGTCTAGTCCTGGTCCATGATGAGTCTGTGTGAGTGCAGTTAGAGGCTGTGATGTGTTTAATGACCTCAGGTTTTGTTTGTTGACGACGTGTTTAAGGACCTTCTGCTCCCTTTTGTTTAGTTCAGGCTCAGACCTGTTGTAGTCCTGGTTTAGACCTGTTGTAGTCCTGGTTTAGACCTGTTGTAGTCCTGGTTTAGACCTGGTTGTGATCAGATGTGATTAAAGGGAAGGTGTTTACAGACAAACACTGGAGTGTGTCGTTCTTTCACATGTTAATGATGCAACAGGAGAATGACTAATGTTAGATCTGCCTCAGAGACAGAACCAGACCAGGACTAAACAGGACTAAACCAGGACTAAACCAGGACTAAACCAGGACCAGGATCAACCAGAACTGGACCAGACCAGGACCACTCCAGGACCAGACTAGGACCATACCAGGACAAAACCAGAACCAGGATCAACCAGAACTGGACCCGATCAGGATCACTCCAAGACCAGACAAGGACCACACCAGGACTAAACCAGGACTACACCAGGACCAGACCAGGACCACCTTAGGCATAAACCAAGACCAAACCAGGACTAAACTAGGACTAAACCAGGACCATGCAC